ATAATCCTGATTTTGTAGATAATTCAGAAATAGGTCCAGATAATACTGATGAAAATAATATCACAGAATCAGTTAGAAGGTCGCAGCTACTTGCAAGCAAACCGAGACATCGTTATAAATACGCAAGGAGACATTCGACGTGTGGCGGATGTGGTGATTGACAATTTCTATCTCTGTATTGTTTAAATACTTACTGTTGATTGTTAATATGTTTCTTATATGAATTGCATTATAATTCCGCTAAATACAAATTCCTGAATTCCGCCCTCTCTGTGTTTTGTTTGGATTCTTGTAATTCGGTCATCTTGAAATACTAATACTACGATTACAATAAATTACTACAAATACACATTTACAATTTTAAATATTCTGCTCAGTCCATACATTTCCTGACTCAGACCTACGGTGTCAGCTAATCATGACGTACGGTTCTGTCTAACAGATAATTCAGAAACCCTTGAGGACGAAAGCCATCGAATAGTACAGCAAACATTACAACAAATACTTCAGCTGAGTAAAAACGCTGATATTTCTCTTTTAAAATAATAAAACGTAGCGTCTGATATGATTATAGCATTTCTATCAGCACGTAACACAATACCACATGGAAGCAACCACCTTGGGGAATCTTAGTCGTAATTTACAAACATCGTTCAGAGTAATAAAGCTGGAGGCGAAGGATCGGCAAGTCAGCTTTGTAATAGCTCGTATCGCCACCCATCTGACACCGTTGTCCAGTTAAATTTATCTCCGTATCTAAAGAGATGTTCTTTACTGCAGCAGCAGCTCTTAACACAAAACGCCCAAACAAAGGATCGAATTAAGCGAACGTAATTATCTTGTTAGACCAATCAGGTGAACCAGTAATAAACTCGCAGAAACGCCTAGTAATAATGGACGCAAAACCAAAACACCAATTGGCGACTCGAGGATCTTTATTGTGACACCAACGTATAAACTGTTACAACTTCTGAACAGCGACCGATGAGACGATGACTGTCGTATTGATGCCTCCGCGAAATTGGGGAAGTTGGTTTTGAGCAAACAGCCATGAATTGATCGATTGTTCAAAAAACCCTTATAGACATTGAATTCAATGTTAAAATATGGTAAAATGGGTTACCTTCTCGCGACTGTCCCAAGAAAACGTCTTAATTGCTTATTGTAGTCCACAGTGATAGTTCAAACCTACTTCTGTATATAAATTCATCCAGATAATCGTATGTCTGGGTGTTTCTTGACACATTCACTGTTCTACAGAGCCAATAGACCCAAGAGAGGAACGGCATATCTTCTTGAACAGATTTTATATAATTACAGACTGGACATCTGTGTACATATCAATCAACGGTGGATGCATACTTCTTTAGAGGCATGACCGCTCCACATCGACAAGCTTCCTGAGCCTTTTATCCTTAAAGTACTCGGATAATACTCCTTGAAGGAGTTTCACAGTCATTCGTTCAATGCATATATACTTCTGCCTATTCATTACAAAATCATCCGGTTGGTTGCACCAAAGCCATTACGTTCATCTGTTAGGTGGTTTTGTTTTGGGTCACTATAGTTTATGGTCAACCTCGAAGCCTCAGGCAGAAGACATGCCATTCCTTTTTTAAGCTTATGGATGCCATAGGGAAATGAATCAATCAGTCACGAAATAGCATGATTTACATTTATGCGCAAAAATTGGTTTAAAGTATCACTGTTGAACTAGATATTTTTGCAACCTGTGCGAGGATGTTATCCGTCATTTTTCCCAGTAACTTCGATCCCTACAGAATTTTATTTTAGATTACGCGCCCTATATCATAGTCTCATAAGGGCGGTTGACAAAAATCATTCAGACACCCACTAGCTTGGGCCACTTTAGTACAGGGAAACACAGCTGTCATTAGTGGTGATCATAAAGAATCCACCAAACAGGCCGTTGTAAAGAAGCCTAATGAGAATAGATCAGATAAGAATGGCTAAATCGAAGGTGGTATTAAAACTGAAGATCGAAAAAGCGAACATGACATCTGTACAACCCTTTTAAAAACGTCTTTCTCCGCCTCCTACCAAGGTCGGGAATCATCTCAATTTATGTCCGCACATTTACCTCATTGGTTCTCCAACAGTCGCTCGAGGTCACGGACACTTAGACCAGTGATAATTTCAAGGATATTTCTAGGTTGATATCACCATTCTCAGAATTGAGAAGGATTCAGCATTCACAACTGGAATGCAGATTTTGAAGTGAATTTACTTTGTAGAAAATAAGCAATTATTACACTAAACAGTGACAGTCAGGTCAGCGGAATTCCATATCGAAAAAAGATAGCTGCCTCTCGCTTAAGTCATTATAATAACAATAATAATTTGTAGTTCGTATAAACGGGTAAGTTTACAAGAAAAACATGCTGTCAATGTAGTTGAAGATTGAATTCATGGTTGTTTGCTCAAACCGAACTCCTCCATATTTTTCGCTGGAGTCATCAATACGACAGTCATCGTCACATCGTTCGCTATTCGTTGGAAGAGAGAAACTATCAGAAGTATTATTGCAATTTATTGTTATAACATTTTTTCTCAGACATGTGTACAATAACTTAATGGTTGGTTCTGTATTGGTGCAAGAATAAAACGGTCCCTGAGTCACCAATTTCCGTTCTAGTTTTTCGTGTTAGTTATTACGCATAGTTTCCGAAAGTCTTTTAGGGACAGCGTAAGGTCCAGTGTACTAAGACCTGGACAGTGACACATGCCTTTTTTTACAGGCACGATCAGAAGCTTAACTTGTTACCTAAACCACTTAGCTAAAGAACTAAAATCCGGCCATCTGTAATATTAATGTGTCTAAGTCAGTAGCAAAAGGGCTTACTCCGACACTTAGGTGATAACGTCGGCCAGTTACAGGAAACGCACTTGATGGCATTAAAACATGTAACTCTGATGGAAATAACCTTGCTAAAACAGTTGAAACTTATTAAGATTGCACCTAAAATTCACTGTCTTTGTAAAAAGACTTGCCACTTAGTAATGGAGCGTACATCACTTGATGTGTAGAAGGTAATTGATCGTATCTGAGAAACACAGTGACCTACGGGTGATTCATTTAAAGATCTATCTACAGAACCTTTATATGAACGGATGTATGTTACATTTATTCCCGTTCACCCAGCGAGATTCCTCAGTTTATAGGAACTGCCTAGTGTATGACGGACGCCATCAGTCTTCATCATTTCAGATGAGAACCATTCTTAAGCTCTTACACGACTGCATGAGTTCGAGTGGGATGCTCCGATTGGTGAAATATTCTTTTTCAGTACTTTTTTCAAAGCTAGACATCTTCGCTATGCATCACGTTCGACAGAATCAAATACTACCCCCTGCGGGTCAATAGTTATGACAAGTGTTGAAGTGTGAAGATATGATTGGTTTTGATGTGTTTGCTTCTCCAGAGCACCACCCAGTATACGCACAACTACTGAACCTAGAATAGTAGACAGCATGTTAATCAAGCTAATCCCCCTTTGTAATTATTATAGGAATATTAGTTTCCCCCCTTATGAACTGCGACGATCGATTTGAACTGATTCAGCTGGACTACCCTATGTTCCCTAATATCTCAGTTAACCCGGACAATACTCTACCACCGCCATCAGATGCCGCTGCATTGTCCCGTCCTATATAACGGACATCTACTCGGGCAACCTCAGTTACATCTGGAGGACCAATGTCAGCGACCCATTCAGGCACTTGTGATAAATTACTGCGACATATAATAATAATAATTTATATTTCCATATAAATTTACATAAAGAACGTCGAGCTAACAGCAACCTGTCGAGCTGCCAACCAACACAGACAGAGAATAGTGGCGTCTTCCCTTGCTTTGTGTACTACATAGTGTGGTGACCCGGATTGCTACACACCGCGCAAAGTTCTACGCCAAAACCAGTCAGTCGGAAGTGCGGTCCATTCCTTGAGAGATAAGCCTACATGTTCACGTAACATGATGTCCGGTATCGACCATGAATGTATGTCAGGTAAAATAAGGACTCAAGTGGCCAACATTGCTCAACCATTCCACACCCTACGCAGTAGTCGATTTTACACTTATGACACACCGAGAATCCCACCATGACACACACACACACCCACATAGTAATAAGTACAGAAGACATGATTGAAAATTAAAACAAATTAAACTGTAATAACAATAGTATTAATAGTGAAAGAATACAACCGATGGTGCTACACAGCGGTAACATTAACCAACAACACAACAACAGAAGATTGGTAATAAAGAACCGCATTTTTTTTCTCTAATTTCAAGAAGTCACGGTGATGAAAACAAGACAGTATATAAAAAAAACTAAATTAAAATGTACTGCATCACTTGAACTATGCATGCTTGACTCCCCCTGTAACACCCATTTCTCCACAATACACAAACACACACACACACAGCGAAAACTACTCACACATGTATCGATCTCACAGTTAGTATACTTCTTTAGTGAAAATAATATTTAGAAAAAAAGCTATTTAAAACAAATGGGAATAAGTGTCTTTAAAAGAAAGGAAAAAGAGACTAGAAACTCAACTGTACACTGACTACTACACTTCCAAGCAACCCCCCCCCAATGAAGAGAATACGTGGATGAACGGATGCCTGGCGGGCTGATAGATGGGTTTAAGAAACACCGATGATGTGTGTGTGACTAACGAAGGTAGATACAACAATTAGAAGAGAAAGAAAAAAGACAAAACAATCAGTGGGATTAGCGACAGCAGTATGGGTGAACGAAGACTAACTGAATGCGTGAAAGTATAGGCGATGATGGATTGAACGAGAACACTGCATTTTCTTCTTCGCACACACACACACACACACACGCATACACTATGGGGCACCTGATACGCCTTTCCTTCTTTCTTATCATCGTTTATTTCAGCGGGACAACATGTAATGGGAAGGGAAGAGAGAAGGACATGTAGTTCGCTTATCTCACCTATATCCAGCATTTTCATGTGATCGTTTATGGTGTTTGTTATGATGAGAATGCCGCCGATCATATCTTGAATCTAAAGAATCACGTCGTCTATAATTCATACTGTCACGACGATCATCATCGTGATGATGATGATGGCGATGTTTATTATTATCACGATGTCGACTTCGACTGCGTTCAAAACGTCGATGATGGTGATCACCGCCACCGGTATGATGTCTTGAAACACCAGAATCATTCTCATCATCGTCATAGCGTGAATGTGAACTATGCTTTGACGAATGACTTTTATGCTTTTTCTTATGACGTTTACTGTTATTGCTGCTGTTGTTGTTGTTGTTGTGATTGCTTCCAGCGCCACTTCCGCCGCCACCAGTGTGTTTACTATGCCAATCAGAGGATGACGACAACGATTTAATGCTATCACTGATTCTCGGCTTTTTTTCATGATAAGCATTTAACGGGATCCATACAATACCAGAATCAGAATCACTGCTAGACGACGACGACTTATATCTTCGTTTAGATGGTGGAGACAACAGTGTTGCTGCCTTCTCTGATGATGAATCATTATCAGATTTCTGAAACAACCAAAGAAGAAGAAAAAACCACATAAGAGTAAAATCAATATTACACCAAATCATCAAATAAAAGTAATACTACATTGAGTGAAATCTGGGATTCATACAGGTTTGAAAGGGGACATTTCACAGTTCCCTCTGGAAACCAAAGTTGTACAGATCGTACACGGTATGTGATCGCCTTGATGCCATATATATATATATATATATACTACTGGCAGATTGAAATAAGTAGTTTCAGACTACTCAAATCAACCCAGTAGGTGAATGTTAGACAGACAGACTGAAGTTACTTGATATCAGAATACAACACTTGTGCACTGTGGTGGTAGAGCATAACTCCATTGTGGGTAAAATTTATTTTGACAATGTCTCATACAATGTTATGATGTAGTAATATTTAGAACACAATTTATCCCTACTCATAATCATATCAAGGCACTACTACTAACACAACTTTCTAACTTCATTTATATAATTCAACCATTTCCCCTCAATTGATTTGATTGTTAATAGTTGTTTCCATATTTCTGGTATGAAAGATGAGTTATTTCTGTTGCATGTGTTCGGTTGGGTGTAGACTCGATGAACCAGTCAGGATTCAGTAATCGACGTCTCTCGCTCTTCATCCATCTATATTGCTTAGAATTCTGACTCTGTCCAACTCACCATAATGTGTGGTTGTGTGTTACTGCATGGAGTGCAATTCCCGAGTTTTTTTTCTAAATTACTCATCTTCTCTGGTTAGGTCAACCATGCTTACCTCAGCTAAATTCTTATGTTCTGGTAATCTGACTACCCTTGACCTGATCAACCAGTTTGACCCCACTTCACCTATTTGGGAAGTTGTATCAGCACCAACGGACTGATTGGCGATGAAATCTCAGCACGGATCCGAAAAGCTCGAGCTGCTTTCGCTGACTTACACCATCTCTGGCGTAGGCGTGACATCCGGTTATCAACCAAGGGACGTGTGTACTGCTCAGCAGTTCGCTCCGTCCTTCTCTATGGCTATGAAACATGGCCAATACGAGTTGAAGACATGAAAAGGTTGACTGATTTCGATCATAGATGTCTGCAATCTCTGTCTCACGTTAGGTGGTTTAATAAGGTAAGTAATGTTGACGTTAGGCGTAGAGTGTTGGGCAAACAGGGAAAATCAATCGACGAGGCTATAAAGTTACATAGATTCAGATGGCTAGGTCATGTGCTGTGCATGCCTAACCATCGCCTCCCCCACCAGACGGGCATTACTAGCTGATATAGGTGGTGCACGTTGGAAAAGAGTTAGTGGTGGCCAAACAAAAACATGGCCTCATCAATCCATGAAATCCTTGACAGTTAAACTGAGTCAGTCAGGTAGGGTAGGAGATGCAGACTTCCGTCCGGGTTGGGGCCCTCGGGACTGACTCTAGGAATCAATCAGTGGCTGGAGACAATAGGTGATATGGCTCAAAATCGTTGTCAATGGCCAGCTCAGATGTATTCAGTCTCTGTAATCTTTCATATTCCTTTCTACAATTACCCATTCTATTTTGCTCTTATACTTGTCAAACTCTATTGATTCTCTTCACTCATCTTCTTGTCTACTTCTGTGTGCTATTTGGAACGTGGCAACTCGAACTGGTGCACTTCGGTGCCAAGTTCTATGTTGAATCCAGACAGACAGACAGACCAGTTTGACCTATGCAGTCCATCTAACTCACAGTCATTGCAAAGTATTTTGTAAAATTGGGTCAGCGGTTAGGACTCTCGCCGACCATGCACATGGTCCGGGTTTCGATCCCCTGCCGACGCACACCTGATATCAATGATCGACCTGCAAAATTTGGGCTACAGATATCACATACCAAAATATTCCATACTTGTAGCAAAAGTACGCTGTAGAATCAAGCTATTGTGAGTGACTCTGTAGGCTTAAATGCCACCTGAATTCCTGCTTCAATAAGAATCCTATATTTGGGGTTCTAGTGGGAAGCTGTGACCAGTGGGTTACAGCAGGTTAAAGGTATGGCAGTAACTCAACAAATAAGACATTACGAAGTGATCGTATAACATCATGAATTGGCAGAAGTTGGAATTCGTGTGCTGGTCATTGGATCAGGTCTCAGTGGGAATTAATGGTCTACAACCTCACTCGTCTTGTAACAAGAAGTTCCTGGGTTCGAACCCCTGGCGGTGGTTGCGTACTGCAAAAGAGTCCCAAACTGACTGTTCCGTACTCCCTGCAGGTTTTCCAATGGTTTTCTAACTGATGTCAGCTCATGAAGAAATCCTCCAATCAATAATATTAATATTTTTTCCTGTAGGTTGTGAGTAGAACATAAGGCTTCATACAAAAGCACATCTCCATTTAGTTCTATTCTATACAGTCTTCTTTAGATAACTCCACATAATTGCCTATAACGTCTCATCTCCTCATTCACACAAGGTCTCCTGTATGTCATCCTCGGATTAACGGCTAACTCGTTGTAACCCATTAATCGAACTCCACACGAGTGAGTTGGCTGGTGCATGATATCACTCAACCAACTCCATTTCCTTTGACATATTTTTTTCAGTCAGAATGCTGCTACTTAATTATAAACCCTCAATTGTCGATTAAAGTTGTATACAAAGTCAGTGCTTTCTGTCTGTCTGGATTCAACATAGAACTTGGCACCGAAGTGCACCAGTTCGAGTTGCCACGTTCCAAATAGCACACAGAAGTAGACAAGAAGATGAGTGAAGAGAATCAATAGAGTTTGACAAGTATAAGAGCAAAATAGAATGGGTAATTGTAGAAAGGAATATGAAAGATTACAGAGACTGAATACATCTGAGCTGGCCATTGACAACGATTTTGAGCCATATCACCTATTGTCTCCAGCCACTGATTGATTCCTAGAGTCAGTCCCGAGGGCCCCAACCCGGACGGAAGTCTGCATCTCCTACCCTACCTGACTGACTCAGTTTAACTGTCAAGGATTTCATGGATTGATGAGGCCATGTTTTTGTTTGGCCACCACTTACACTTTTCCAACCTGCACCTATATCAGCTAGTAATGTCCGTCTGGTGGGGGAGGCGATGGTTAGGCATGCACACCACCTGACCTAGCCATCTCAATCTATGTAACTTTATAGCCTCGTCGATTGATTTTCCCTGTTTGCCCAACACTCTACGCCTAACGTCAACATTACTTACCTTATTAAACCACCTAACGTGAGACAAAGATCTCAGACATCTATGGTCGAAAGCAGTCAACCTTTTCATGTCTTCAATTCGTATTGGCCATGTTTCAGAGCTTTGGTGTAATGCAAGTCGCATTGACCACAAATTCTTATCTATATAGAGTAATTTGGAATTAGAAAATGGGAGACACACACACACATGACTTCTTCTTTGTGCACACAGCCACCTATTACACTGATGTTTAATAAGAAACAGATAACCTTTCGTTTTATGGCCACTGAAAGTGGAAGATACGAAAAGCCTGGTTAGCTGTCTTTCATCGTAGGTGTATGCGTTCTATCTCCCGTGTTAGTTGGCGTGGTATAATAGGATGAGGAATATTGAGGTTAGATAGGCATCGGTCGAGTGCTAGGTGAAGGAGGAGGGAGGGGAAATCAACCGACGAGGTTGTGCAGTTACATAGATTGAGACGGTTAGGATACGTGTGTTACGTATGTTTGCCTAATCACAGCCTTCCTCAACAACGGGAAATGTTAGCTGCCAACATAGGATTGATGAGGTTAGAAAAGAGAAAGCTAGTAGCGGTCAAACCAAAACATGGCTTCATCAGTCAATGAAATCCATAATAGTTGGTTTAAGCCAGCCAGCCACACAGGGAGGTGTACACTTCCAGCCTGGTTAGGGTCATTGAGGTGGTAAGAACACCAATGAAGGCTGGAGACAATTGGTGGGCAATAAGGCTCATTACTGTCTTCTGTTGCTTTGTGTGCTACATGGAGGAAGAGTGGCAACTGAAACTGCTGCTGGACATCTGTGCAAAGGCAGTTCTCCACGTTGAAACCAGTCAGTCAGTTTCGTTTATTACCAAGACTATATGTGTGTATGCCATCTCTCATGCAATTACACTTGCCTTCTTTAATTGCCATTTATGTTATCAGGTAGACCACTACAGATTACAGTGTAATTTACCACTTTTCTTTATAGAGAAGTACCCTATCTGTAAGTATACAAAGTCCCAAACTGAGGCGAAACAGCGAGTTGTCCAATACTCACCAACTGATATCAATATTCAGCGTAACTTATTATTATTTCCTTTAATTCATAGAGGAACAATGGGCTTCATATGCACATCTCCACTGAGTTCGGTTCACTGGCTCCACGTCTGCCCACATGCTTTCATCTCATATCTTCACATCACCTCCTCCAAGTCACCCTTACACTGACGACCAATTCTCCGCTTCCCTTTCAGGTTCCACTCGAGCACTGGCTTGTCTAGTGATGTCATTTGATGGTTTGTTTTCTCACGGTATGGCCAACCCACCTCCATTTCTTCCTGTCTATTTGTTTCACAATCGGTTCCTGGTTGGTTCGCTTCCGAAGATCCCTGTTGCTGATCTTTTCTGTCTGGCCATCTGATCTTGAGTATTGAGCGAAGACAGCTAGCTGTTGATGAAGGTCTGTAGTTTGTTTGATAGGCTCTTTATGACGCGCGCTGGCCAATTCTCTGATCCGTATAACAAGTAGCACTGACTTCACATTGGAGTTGAAAATCCGGATCTTATTTTTGATGCTGAGTGCTGTTGACCTCCATACAGACTAGAGAGTAATGAAAGCTTGTCTTGTTTTGGTATCCTCGTCACTTTCGCCTGTAATTGAAACGATGCCTCCCAGGTAGGTAAAGGAGGTAGCTTCTTTTAGGGTTCTTCCCATTTATGCTGGCTGATTGTTGTCTGTTGTTGTTGTTGGCCAGAAGTCTTCATCCCCTCTGTAGTGTAACTTGAAACCCACCAAATCCCTGCAACAAGTCAACGGATAACACTTGCAAAGCCCACTTGAAAAGTAAGCAAGTTTCACGCTCAAAGCGAATTTTTCCCTGACAAGAACCACTGACACATTTATTATATTTCTTAACATGGAAGGATGTGCGTGATAATTTCTAGCAATTGAGGTCTGATGAGAAAGTATGTTTCAGCTAGTGGTAAGGGATTATCTTCAAATGAGACAGGTGTGTAACAGTCTATGGAGATAACAGTCAGTTTGTGATGACACCAATTTACATCAATGTTACGTCCCGAATCGGAGCCATAACAAGAAAAAAGAATAGAAAAAAAGCTTAAACTTGAGAAAATCACCAACCAATCACAGCAGACTTAACGTATACAAATACGATTCACAGATAAATGGCTTAACTTTCTAAGAAACGGTCAGCCAGTCACAAGCAGTGAAGAATAACCTTCAGCAAGGAAACAACCAATCAGAAGACGTCACTTCTCTCCCAACAATAATGCTAATTAATAATGTACATAAAAATCTATAAATATCTTTCAATAAACGATCTGTCTTATGTCGTTCGTTGCAATTCGAGTGCTATTCCCCCTTTATTTTCCATACATATAGTTAGGTTATCCTCTCAAAGAATTAATTTAAAAAGGTTGCTTACCTCATCTTGATAATCGACCAATGGACGTGTGTGTTTGTGTGTTTCACCATTATTACGTGAATCAGTAGTATGGGGGACAACAGTAGGCAGTCGTTGAGCAGAACAGTCTATTTTCGCCACCTTTGTCTCATTGACACTTCGATGATGATTGTCAATTTGCCTGCAGGGATTGTTACTACTTGATAAAGAAGAACGACTACTATCAGTGGTGGAGTGCTGGTTGTTGTAGCGGTGGTTTTGATGTTTAGTTTCACCAAATGATGATGTGACAGTTGACTGTAATGGCGTCGGTCGTTCACTCCATAACTCCGGTTGATTCTCCTTTCCATAAAGTAACTAAGAGAAAAAACGATTATTACAATAAAAAAAGACATACGAGAAATAAAGTTGGTTATGCAAGTGAAAATAAAAGTTTAAGGAAAGGGGGGAGAGTGTTGGTGTGGTTTACAGGGATTTGGTTTGATTGGCTACAAGATTGCATTAGGATGAACTGACATCGCCTAGAGGACCTTCCTCGACGGGCATCGGGTCACAAGCTGGAAAAGCCAAAAGTGGTGGTTAAACCAAAACATGGCTTCTTCAGTCAATGAAATTCACAACAGTTCGTTTATGCTAACCACCCAGGGAGACGCAGACTGCGAGGTTGCGGTCCTTAGTATGGCAAACACTAACGAAGTCTGGAGAAAATTGGTGATATGGCTTAAAATCGTTCTTAATGGCGCGGGCAAATGCATCCACTCCTTTTGACTTACAATGTCCAATAAAATTCTGTGGTTCTTGAATATTACCTTTCTGTTTGCTTCATAACTCTACTCGTACTCATACAGCCAGGTGAGGGCTTACGGCGAGCTGTCATCTGAACTGGTGACGACCAGTGGTGTCCATCAAGGATGCCCATTACCCCCTTTTCTATTCAACTTCATCACAGATGTGTTAATGGACTTAACCCTAAGTGACTTCAGCGACTCAGGGATTGCCTTGCTACCAGGGAATATTCTCGTTGACTTAGAATATGCAGACGATATAGTCCTCCTAAGCGACGACTCTGACAAAATACAGAGTCTTCTAAACACCTTGAGCAGTAGCAATCTACGAATGTTTGGCATGCGATTCGCTCCCGCCAAATGCAAGATTATTTTACAGAACTGGACTACACCGACGCCTAGTTTAAAAATAAGAAGTGAAGTGGTAGAGCACGTTGACCGCTTCACTTATTTGGGAAGTACCATCAGCCAGTGCCAACCGGTTGATCTCAGACGAAATCTCAGCACGAATACAGGGGGCTCGTATCGCACTTGCCAGTTTACGCCCTCTCTGGCGTAGACGAGATGTTCGATTATCAACCAAAGGGCGGGTATACTGCTCATCAGTCCGCTCCGTCCTCCTTTATGGCTGTGAGACCTGGCCACTGAGAGTGGAAGACATGAAAAGATTAGCTGTCTTTGATTATAGGTGCCTGCGCTCTACATTCCCGCATCGTCCTGGAGAGATTAAAGGACGCACTGGATACAGAACTCCGACCAGAACATGCTGGATTCAGGAAAGACAAATCATGTACTGACCAAATGGCAACTCTACGCATCATCATCTTCGAACAAAGCATGGAATGGCGATCAAACCTCTACTTCAACTTTATAGACTTTGAGGAGGCCTTCGGCAGTTAGCGTTGACCGTGAGGTAATTTGGAAATTACTCGAGTACTATGGCGTACCCCAAATATTCATCAACCTTATTAAACAGCTGTATGACAACGGCACATGTCAAGTGATCCACAACCCAAAACTCAACAAGGCGTTTGGAGTAAACACAGGAGTCAGACAAGGGTGCTTATTATCACCAATGATATTCCTAATTGTGGTGGACTGGATTATACGTCAGACAGTGGGTAACGAGAAGACAGGAATATCGTGGACCGACGCGAAGAACCTAGAAGACTTGGATTTCGTGCGTGGATGATATACGTTTGATGTCACACAAAATCGAAGACTTACAAGCGAAAACCGACAAACTGGTCGAAGAAGCATCCAGCGAAGACAGGACACCCAAGTGAACATAGACAAGACGGAGGTTATAAAATAACCAACCAACCAAGAACAACAACAGCAACATCCAGCGTCAATCACCATCAACAGGAGGGACTTGAAAGAGGTTGCTTCATTCACTCACTTATCTAGGGAGCATTGTCTCAACTATAGACAGTCGGAACGGACGAGGATGTCAAATCGATGGAGAATCGGGTGGGCTAGAAACACATTCATCAACCTGAAACAACAAATCTGGAAATCTTCGTCACTCAATTCAGCATCAACAACAAAATTCGGTCGGATTTTCAATACAAACGTCAAGTCGGTCAGTTCTTCTATACGATGAGAAACTTGGTGGGTGGGTCACAAAGAATATTTCCAACAGCCTGTTGCAGACCTTTACTAACAACTGTCTTCGCTGTATACTGAAGATCAGATGGCCCGGCCGGAAGGAATCACCAACAAGGAATTATGGGAACAAACAAAGCGAGAATCAATCGCCCACCAACAGCAAATATGCAGGAGAAAGTGGAGATGGATTGGACACTCGCTGAGGAGACCGCTGGGTGACATCGCGCGTCAAGCCCTCGAGTGGAACCCGAAAGCGAGTCGGTGTGTGGGACGTACAAGGGTGACATGGAGGAGATCGTGTGAAGAGGAGTTGAAAGAGTATGGACTAAGATGGTTACAGGTGAAAAGTACAGCAGAAGGAGACAGAAGCAAATGGAGACGTGCAGTTGAAGCCCTATGTTCCACTAGGAACCCAAGGGAGCAATAATAATAATAATATAATCTAGTAACGCCCTACCCCACCAACATGCGGGAATGTACACTTGTCTGACACACACTCCCCAATACAGGGAGCCAAACTGTAAGTCATTTTCACTTGAATGAATATGGAATACCCAGACTTGATCTCACGCATCAGCCACCCATTTCTAGTTTGCACCATCATTGGTCTAAGCCTCCCCAATGTGTTAAATCTCATCCGTAGATGTTCGTTCAGCTCAACATCCACGGCCCGGTGGATAGAATCAGGAGACAATGCGGCGACTTCGTTAGGAATCCTTTCTTCTTCTCTTTTCAAATGTACTGCCTTCAACAAAGGCACTGATACAGTGATGCTATCCTCTACGTTAGTGTTACTCAAATGGAGAGTTGGGATCACTAGAACCTTCAATTCGCAGTTATTCAGAATACAGCTAGCACACCTGGCAAATAACGGAACCACCTTCGTCATGAATTCTGTTAACAAGCTCAAAGCTGGTCTTGTTTGTAACTGCAAACGCCAGAATTATGGTGTACTTACCGATGACTTCAAAATTTTATAGATTTTTGAACACCATGAATTATTCACTGATAATTACTGTTCATTCTGCATCCCTTTTGTTTCATTTCAGCACATGTACGAAAATGCTACTTCCTCCTCACAACTAACGTAATCATTTATAATTTCCACTTGAAAATGAAATGCAGTAGTTAACTTAAAATGCACATCGATGGACTAATTCACGCACGGTTTCAATAAACATGGCACCTAGGATTTTGAAAGCTTTACAAATTAGTCATCACATTCTATAATACTCAGATTCCCAAAGTCCTCAGCCTACTTATGTAACTGAATCAGTTTCCTGATGAGATTATTGGCCCGGTCTGTGCAAAAATTATGAGATTAGCATATTTAAGGTACTGATAGTGCTATCAGTTGGCTATAACATAACAGATATCACTAAATGTGATCTGTGTAATTACCCAACAAATCAGTATTCAACCTAACTCGTTAGTACTGACTAAAAGATGCATATTAAAAGACTCAGTTAACTAGTAGTGAGCTCTAATGAGCATTATCTCTGAATAAAATGAAAAGTAAAAGTTGTTAAGAGAAACATGTTAGAAATTATCTAGATGGAGTGACTGATTACAGGTACAGATAATGTCGTATTGATGGAACAAGGAAAGAGTATAGAATGGCGTTTGAGCCAGATAGAATATATACCCGTTCAAGCGAAAACTTTAAACATCGAGAGGTGCAATAATGTGGTGATTGACAATTTCTATCTCTATTGTTTAAATACTTACTGTTGATTGTTAATATGTTTCTTATATGAATTGCATATAATTCCGCTAAATACAAATTCCTGAATTCCGCCCTCTCTGTGTTTTGTTTGGATTCTTGTAATTCGGTCATCTCGAAATACTAATACTACGATTACAATAAATTACTACAAATTGGCGTCGCGATGGAACTAAATAACCTGGGAAAATTTCCTATTAATGGTCTCCGCGGGAGATTGCTGATTATTTGGAATGCTTCGATGCGTGGTGCATTTCAAAGAATGTTCGGGATGACAAAATACCAGCACATTTCATCACTGCTATTGGGCTAGATGCGTATAGCCTAGTAAAGACTCTGTCGTTTCCAGATAAACCATTTCTCTGCATATGAAAAATTCGTGAACTTCTGATAAATCACTTTCATGTAACTACTTTGAGACCAGAGAGAGGGCTCAATTCAACAAACTGGTTCGTGCTCCCAACCAGAAGATTAGAGACTTTATTCTTCAACTCCAAATACAAGCTTCAAAGTGTAACTTTGGAGATCAGCTGCATACTCAACTACGTGATCGTCTAATTGCTGGAATCAATATTCCTAAGTTAGAGAAAGAGTTAATTCAGATTCCTTCTTGTACCTTTCAAACTGCTAAAGATTTATGTATTACATATGAAGATGTCAATAATGAATACTCTGCTCCCACTACGTCAGTATCTGATGTCATGCTTTCTAAAGTCGAAAATACAAGTGTTCATGGAAAGCAATCCAAACTGTCGTCCACAGGTAATAGAATGCAGCGAGAGATCAAAAACATTAAACCGTGTTTATCCTGTGGAAAGTTACATCTACGAAGCACTTGCCGTTTTCGGGGTGCTAAGTGTCACAAATGTGGTAAAGTTGGACACATCAAGACTGTTTGCAGAAGTTCGAATACTTATGTTGCTCAACATTCTTATAATTCTCCCAAGCTGTCTAGTAAAATGGAGTCAATGTGTCTTTCAACTTTTCAAAATACTCAAGCTCATCCAATGAAAACCTCCACTACAAGTTCAGCAACTCAAGCGTCAACTGTTTTCAAAAATGAGGTAGCCGAGTTACAATGCGAACTGTCGAAAACACGAAAAAACTGAATGAGATGAGAGAGCAACTGATTAAAATGGAGGAATTGCTGCATATGCATAGACTGCGTCTGTTGAATGCAGAGCATACAAGTACCCGTGAAAGTCCTGCAAAACTTTTCAAATCTCGAATTCTCAAAAAGCATCTGATGTCCACGACTTCTAATGTACATTATTACAAAGGGAATGACTATAGACCTTCTGTTGGAATTATACTACAAAAAATGGGAAATCGAGTGGTGAAGATATTAGACATCAAAGATCACTCAGTTCATAACAGACACCTGGACAAAGTGACAATAAATGAAGTAGGTCGTTCCAATTATAATTTAATGATTCCGCTAATAATCCTGATTTTGTAGATAATTCAGAAATAAGTCCAGATAATACTGATGAAAATAATATCACAGAATCAGTTAGAAGGTCGCAGCTACTTGCAAGCAAACCGAGACATCGTTATAAATACGCAAGGAGATATTCGACGTGTGGCGGATGTGGTGATTGACAATTTCTATCTCTGTATTGTTTAAATACTTACTGTTGATTGTTAATATGTTTCTTATATGAATTGCATATAATTCCGCTAAATACAAATTCCTGAATTCCGCCCTCTCTGTGTTTTGTTTGGATTCTTGTAATTCGGTCATCTCGAAATACTAATACTACGATTACAATAAATTACTACAAATACACATTTACAATTTTAAAGATTCTGCTCAGTCCATACATTTCCTGACTCAGACGTACGGTGTCAGCTAATCATGAAGTACGGTTCTGTCTAACAGATAGTTCAGAAACGCGTGAGGACGAAAGCCATCGAATAGTACAGCAAACATTACAACAAATACTTCAGCTGAGTAAAAACGCTGATATTTCGCTTTTAAAATAATAAAACGTAGCGTCTGATATGATTATAGCATTTCTATCAGCACGTAACACAATACCACATGGAAGCAACCACCTTGGGGAATCTTAGTCGTAATTTACAAACATCGTTCAGAGTAATAAAGCTGGAGGCGAAGGATCGGCAAGTCAGCTTTGTAATAGCTTGTATCGCCACCCATTTGACACCGTTGTCCAGTTAAATTTATCTCCGTATCTAAAGAGATGTTCTTTACTGCAGCAGCAGCTCTTAACACAAAACGCCTAAACAAAGACCCGAATTAAGCGAACGTAATTATCTTGTTAGACCAATCAGGTGAACCAGTAATAAACTCGTATTGTTAAAAAAACCCTTATAGACATTGAATTCGATGTTAAAATATGGTAAAATGGGTTACCTTCTCGTGACTGTCCCAAGAAAAGCTCTTAATTGCTTATTGTAGTTCACAGTGATAGTTCAAACCTACTTCTGTATATAAATTCATCCAGATAATCGTATGTCTGGGTGTTTCTTGACACATTCACTGTTCTACAGAGCCAATAGACCCAAGAGAGGTACGGCATATCTTCTTGAACAGATTTTATATAATTACAGCCTGGACATCTGTGTACATATCAATCAACGGTGGATGCATACTTCTTTAGAGGCATGACCGCTCCACATCGACAAGCTTCCTGAGCCTTTTATCCTTAAAGTACTCGGATAATACTCCTTGAAGGAGTTTCACAGTCATTCGTTCAATGCATATATACTTCTGCCTATTCATTACAAAATCATCCGGTTGGTTGCACCAAAGCCATTACGTTCATCTGTTAGGTGGTTTTGTTTTGGGTCACTATAGTTTATGGTCAACCTCGAAGCCTCAGGCAGAAGACATGCCATTCCTTTTTTAAGCTTATGGATGCCATAGGGAAATGAATCAATCAGTCACGAAATAGCATGATTTACATTTATGCGCAAAAATTAGTTTAAAGTATCACTGTTGAACTAGATATTTTTGCAACCTGTGCGAGGATGTTATCCGTCATTTTTCCCAGTAACTTCGATCCCTACAGAATTTTATTTTAGATTACGCGCCCTATATCATAGTCTCATAAGGGCGGTTGACAAAGATCATTCAGGCACCCACTAGCTTGGGCCACTTTAGCACAGGGAAACACAGCTGTCATTAGTAGTGATCATAAAGAATCCACCAAACAGGCCGTTGTAAAAAATTCTAATGAGAATAGATCAGATGAATGGCTAAATCGAAGGTGGTATTAAAACTGAAGATCAAAAAGCGAACATGACATCTGTACAACCCTTTTAAAAACGCCTTTCTCCACCTCCTACTAAGGTCGGTAACCATCTCAATTTATGTCCGCACACTTACCTCATTGGTTCTCCAACAGTCGCTCGAGGTCACGGACACTTAGACCAGTGATAATTTCAAGGATATTTCTAGGTTGATATCACCATTCTCAGAATTGAGAAGGATTCAGCATTCACAACTGGAATGCAGATTTTGAAGTGAATTTACTTTCTAGAAAATAAGCAATTATTACACTAAACAGTGACAGTCAGGTCAGCGGAATTCCGTATCGAAAAAAGATAGCTGCCTCTCGCTTAAGTCATTATAATAACAATAATAATTTGTAGTTCGTATAAACGGTAAGTTTACAAGAAAAACATGCTGTCAATGTAGTTGAAGATTGAATTCATGGTTGTTTGCTCAAACCGAACTCCTCCATATTTTTCGCTGGAGTCATCAATACGACAGTCATCGTCACATCGTTCGCTATTCGTTGGAAGAGAGAAACTATCAGAAGTATTATTGCGATTTATTGTTATAACATTTTTTCTCAGACATGTGTACATTAACTTAATGGTTGGTTCTGTATTGGTGCAAGAATAAAACGGTCCTGAGTCACCAATTTCCGTTCTAGTTTTTCGTGTTAGTTATTACGCATAGTTTCCGAAAGTCTTTTAGGGACAGCGTAGGTCCAGTGTACTAAGACCTGGACAGTGACACATGCCTTTTTTACAGGCACGATCAGAAGCTTAACTTGTTACCTAAACCACTTAGCTAAAGAACTAAAATCCGGCCATCTGTAATATTAATGTGTCTCAGTCAGTAGCAAAAGGGCTTACTCCGACACTTAGGTGATAACGTCGGCCAGTTACAGGAAACGCACTTGATGGCATTAAAACATGTAACTCTGATGGAAATAACCTTGCTAAAACAGTTGAAACTTATTAAGATTGCACCTAAAATTCACTGTCTTTGTAAAAAGACTTGCCACTTAGTAATGGAGCGTACATCACTTGATGTGTAGAAGGTAATTGATCGTATCTGAGAAACACAGTGACCTACGGGTGATTCATTTAAAGATCTATCTACAGAACCTTTATATGAACGGATGTATGTTACATTTATTCCCGTTCACCCAGCGAGATTCCTCAGTTTATAGGAACTGCCTAGTGTATGACGGACGCCATCAGTCTTCATCATTTCAGATGAGAACCATTCTTAAGCTCTTACACGACTGCATGAGTTCGAGTGGGATGCTCCGATTGGTGAAATATTCTTTTTCAGTACTTTTTTCAAAGCTAGACATCTTCGCTATGCATCACGTTCGACAGAATCAAATACTACCCCCTGCGGGTCAATAGTTATGACAAGTGTTGAAGTGTGAAGATATGATTGGTTTTGATGTGTTTGCTTCTCCAGAGCACCACCCAGTATACGCACAACTACTGAACCTAGAATAGTAGACAGCATGTTAATCAAGCTAATCCCCCTTTGTAATTATTATAGGAATATTAGTTTCCCCCCTTATGAACTGCGACGATCGATTTGAACCGATTCAGCTGGACTACCCTATGTTCCCTAATATCTCAGTTAACCCGGACAATACTCTACCACCGCCATCAGATGCCGCTGCATTGTCCCGTCCTATATAACGGACATCTACTCGGGCAACCTCAGTTACATCTGGAGGACCAATGTCAGCGACCCATTCAGGCACTTGTGATAGATTACTGCGACATATAATAATAATAATTTATATTTCCATATAAATTTACATAAAGAACGTCGAGCTAACAGCAACCTGTCGAGCTGCCAACCAACACAGACAGAGAATAGTGGCGTCTTCCCTTGCTTTGTGTACTACATAGTGTGGTGACCCGGATTGCTACACACCGCGCAAAGTTCTACGCCAAAACCAGTCAGTCGGAAGTGCGGTCCATTCCTTGAGAGATAAGCCTACATGTTCACGTAACATGATGTCCGGTATCGACCATGAATGTATGTCAGGTAAAATAAGGACTCAAGTGGCCAACATTGCTCAACCATTCCACACCCTACGCAGTAGTCGATTTTACACTTATGACACACCGAGAATCCCACCCTGACACACACACACACCCACATAGTAATAACTACAGAAGACATGATTGAAAATTAAAACAAATTAAACTGTAATAACAATAGTATTAATAGTGAAAGAATACAACCGATGGTGCTACACAGCGGTAACATTAACCAACAACACAACAACAGAAGATTGGTAATAAAGAACCGCATTTTTTTTCTCTAATTTCAAGAAGTCACGGTGATGAAAACAAGACAGTATATAAAAAAACTAAATTAAAATGTACTGCATCACTTGAACTATGCATGCTTGACTCCCCCTGTAACACCCATTTCTCCACAATACACAAACACACACACACACAGCGAAAACTACTCACACATGTATCGATCTCACAGTTAGTATACTTCTTTAGTGAAAATAATATTTAGAAAAAAAGCTATTTAAAACAAATGGGAATAAGTGTCTTTAAAAGAAAGGAAAAAGAGACTAGAAACTCAACTGTACACTGACTACTACACTTCCAAGCAACCCCCCCCACATGAAGAGAATACGTGGATGGACGGATGCCTGGCGGGCTGATAGATGGGTTTAAGAAACACCGATGATGTGTGTGTGACTAACGAAGGTAGATACAACAATTAGAAGAGAAAGAAAAAAGACAAAACAATCAGTGGGATTAGCGACAGCAGTATGGGTGAACGAAGACTAACTGAATGCGTGAAAGTATAGGCGATGATGGATTGAACGAGAACACTGCATTTTCTTCTTCGCACACACACACACACACACACGCATACACTATGGGGCACCTGATACGCCTTTCCTTCTTTCTTATCATCGTTTATTTCAGCGGGACAACATGTAATGAGAAGGGAAGAGAGAAGGACATGTAGTTCGCTTATCTCACCTATATCCAGCATTTTCATGTGATCGTTTATGGTGTTTGTTATGATGAGAATGCCGCCGATCATATCTTGAATCTAAAGAATCACGTCGTCTATAATTCATACTGTCACGACGATCATCATCGTGATGATGATGATGGCGATGTTTATTATTATCACGATGTCGACTTCGACTGCGTTCAAAACGTCGATGATGGTGATCACCGCCACCGGTATGATGTCTTGAAACACCAGAATCATTCTCATCATCGTCATAGCGTGAATGTGAACTATGCTTTGACGAATGACTTTTATGCTTTTTCTTATGACGTTTACTGTTATTGCTGCTGTTGTTGTTGTTGTTGTGATTGCTTCCAGCGCCACTTCCGCCGCCACCAGTGTGTTTACTATGCCAATCAGAGGATGACGACAACGATTTAATGCTATCACTGATTCTCGGCTTTTTTTCATGATAAGCATTTAACGGGATCCATACAATACCAGAATCAGAATCACTGCTAGACGACGACGACTTATATCTTCGTTTAGATGGTGGAGACAACAGTGTTGCTGCCTTCTCTGATGATGAATCATTATCAGATTTCTGAAACAACCAAAGAAGAAGAAAAAAACAATATTACACCAAATCATCAAATAAAAGTAATACTACATTGAGTGAAATCTGGGATTCATACAGGTTTGAAAGGGGACATTTCACAGTTCCCTCTGGAAACCAAAGTTATACAGATCGTACACGGTATGTGATCGCCTTGATGCCATATATATATATATATATATACTACTGGCAGATTGAAATAAGTAGTTTCAGACTACCCAAATCAACCCAGTAGGTGAATGTTAGACAGACAGACTGAAGTTACTTGATATCAGAATACAACACTTGTGCACTGTGGTGGTAGAGCATAACTCCATTGTGGGTAAAATTTATTTTGACAATGTCTCATACAATGTTATGATGTAGTAATATTTAGAACACAATTTATCCCTACTCATAATCATATCAAGGCACTACTACTAACACAACTTTCTAACTTCATTTATATAATTCAACCATTTCCCCTCAATTGATTTGATTGTTAATAGTTGTTTCCATATTTCTGGTATGAAAGATGAGTTATTTCTGTTGCATGTGTTCGGTTGGGTGTAGACTCGATGAACCAGTCAGGATTCAGTAATCGACGTCTCTCGCTCTTCATCCATCTATATTGCTTAGAATTCTGACTCTGTCCAACTCACCATAATGTGTGGTTGTGTGTTACTGCATGGAGTGCAATTCCCGAGTTTTTTTTCTAAATTACTCATCTTCTCTGGTTAGGTCAACCATGCTTACCTCAGCTAAATTCTTATGTTCTGGTAATCTGACTACCCTTGACCTGATCAACCAGTTTGACCCCACTTCACCTATTTGGGAAGTTGTATCAGCACCAACGGACTGATTGGCGATGAAATCTCAGCACGGATCCGAAAAGCTCGAGCTGCTTTCGCTGACTTACACCATCTCTGGCGTAGGCGTGACATCCGGTTATCAACCAAGGGACGTGTGTACTGCTCAGCAGTTCGCTCCGTCCTTCTCTATGGCTATGAAACATGGCCAATACGAGTTGAAGACATGAAAAGGTTGACTGATTTCGATCATAGATGTCTGCAATCTCTGTCTCACGTTAGGTGGTTTAATAAGGTAAGTAATGTTGACGTTAGGCGTAGAGTGTTGGGCAAACAGGGAAAATCAATCGACGAGGCTATAAAGTTACATAGATTCAGATGGCTAGGTCAGGTGGTGTGCATGCCTAACCATCGCCTCCCCCACCAGACGGGCATTACTAGCTGATATAGGTGGTGCACGTTGGAAAAGAGTTAGTGGTGGCCAAACAAAAACATGGCCTCATCAATCCATGAAATCCTTGACAGTTAAACTGAGTCAGTCAGGTAGGGTAGGAGATGCAGACTTCCGTCCGGGTTGGGGCCCTCGGGACTGACTCTAGGAATCAATCAGTGGCTGGAGACAATAGGTGATATGGCTCAAAATCGTTGTCAATGGCCAGCTCAGATGTATTCAGTCTCTGTAATCTTTCATATTCCTTTCTACAATTACCCATTCTATTTTGCTCTTATACTTGTCAAACTCTATTGATTCTCTTCACTCATCTTCTTGTCTACTTCTGTGTGCTATTTGGAACGTGGCAACTCGAACTGGTGCACTTCGGTGCCAAGTTCTATGTTGAATCCAGACAGACAGACAGACCAGTTTGACCTATGCAGTCCATCTAACTCACAGTCATTGCAAAGTATTTTGTAAAATTGGGTCAGCGGTTAGGACTCTCGCCGACCATGCACATGGTCCGGGTTTCGATCCCCTGCCGACGCACACCTGATATCAATGATCGACCTGCAAAATTTGGGCTACAGATATCACATACCAAAATATTCCATACTTGTAGCAAAAGTACGCTGTAGAATCAAGCTATTGTGAGTGACTCTGTAGGCTTAAATGCCACCTGAATTCCTGCTTCAATAAGAATCCTATATTTGGGGTTCTAGTGGGAAGCTGTGACCAGTGGGTTACAGCAGGTTAAAGGTATGGCAGTAACTCAACAAATAAGACATTACGAAGTGATCGTATAACATCATGAATTGGCAGAAGTTGGAATTCGTGTGCTGGTCATTGGATCAGGTCTCAGTGGGAATTAATGGTCTACAACCTCACTCGTCTTGTAACAAGAAGTTCCTGGGTTCGAACCCCTGGCGGTGGTTGCGTACTGCAAAAGAGTCCCAAACTGACTGTTCCGTACTCCCTGCAGGTTTTCCAATGGTTTTCTAACTGATGTCAGCTCATGAAGAAATCCTCCAATCAATAATATTAATATTTTTTCCTGTAGGTTGTGAGTAGAACATAAGGCTTCATACAAAAGCACATCTCCATTTAGTTCTATTCTATACAGTCTTCTTTAGATAACTCCACATAATTGCCTATAACGTCTCATCTCCTCATTCACACAAGGTCTCCTGTATGTCATCCTCGGATTAACGGCTAACTCGTTGTAACCCATTAATCGAACTCCACACGAGTGAGTTGGCTGGTGCATGATATCACTCAACCAACTCCATTTCCTTTGACATATTTTTTTCAGTCAGAATGCTGCTACTTAATTATAAACCCTCAATTGTCGATTAAAGTTGTATACAAAGTCAGTGCTTTCTGTCTGTCTGGATTCAACATAGAACTTGGCACCGAAGTGCACCAGTTCGAGTTGCCACGTTCCAAATAGCACACAGAAGTAGACAAGAAGATGAGTGAAGAGAATCAATAGAGTTTGACAAGTATAAGAGCAAAATAGAATGGGTAATTGTAGAAAGGAATATGAAAGATTACAGAGACTGAATACATCTGAGCTGGCCATTGACAACGATTTTGAGCCATATCACCTATTGTCTCCAGCCACTGATTGATTCCTAGAGTCAGTCCCGAGGGCCCCAACCCGGACGGAAGTCTGCATCTCCTACCCTACCTGACTGACTCAGTTTAACTGTCAAGGATTTCATGGATTGATGAGGCCATGTTTTTGTTTGGCCACCACTTACACTTTTCCAACCTGCACCTATATCAGCTAGTAATGTCCGTCTGGTGGGGAGGCGATGGTTAGGCATGCACACCACCTGACCTAGCCATCTCAATCTATGTAACTTTATAGCCTCGTCGATTGATTTTCCCTCTTTGCCCAACACTCTACGCCTAACGTCAACATTACTTACCTTATTAAACCACCTAACGTGAGACAAAGATCTCAGACATCTATGGTCGAAAGCAGTCAACCTTTTCATGTCTTCAATTCGTATTGGCCATGTTTCAGAGCTTTGGTGTAATGCAAGTCGCATTGACCACAAATTCTTATCTATATAGAGTAATTTGGAATTAGAAAATGGGAGACACACACACACATGACTTCTTCTTTGTGCACACAGCCACCTATTACACTGATGTTTAATAAGAAACAGATAACCTTTCGTTTTATGGCCACTGAAAGTGGAAGATACGAAAAGCCTGGTTAGCTGTCTTTCATCGTAGGTGTATGCGTTCTATCTCCCGTGTTAGTTGGCGTGGTATAATAGGATGAGGAATATTGAGGTTAGGTAGGCATCGGTCGAGTGCTAGGTGAAGGAGGAGGGAGGGGAAATCAACCGACGAGGTTGTGCAGTTACATAGATTGAGACGGTTAGGATACGTGTGTTACGTATGTTTGCCTAATCACAGCCTTCCTCAACAACGGGAAATGTTAGCTGCCAACATAGGATTGATGAGGTTAGAAAAGAGAAAGCTAGTAGCGGTCAAACCAAAACATGGCTTCATCAGTCAATGAAATCCATAATAGTTGGTTTAAGCCAGCCAGCCACACAGGGAGGTGTACACTTCCAGCCTGGTTAGGGTCATTGAGGTGGTAAGAACACCAATGAAGGCTGGAGACAATTTGTGGGCAATAAGGCTCATTACTGTCTTCTGTTGCTTTGTGTGCTACATGGAGGAAGAGTGGCAACTGAAACTGCTGCTGGACATCTGTGCAAAGGCAGTTCTCCACGTTGAAACCAGTCAGTCAGTTTCGTTTATTACCAAGACTATATGTGTGTATGCCATCTCTCATGCAATTACACTTGCCTTCTTTAATTGCCATTTATGTTATCAGGTAGACCACTACAGATTACAGTGTAATTTACCACTTTTCTTTATAGAGAAGTACCCTATCTGTAAGTATACAAAGTCCCAAACTGAGGCGAAACAGCGAGTTGTCCAATACTCACCAACTGATATCAATATTCAGCGTAACTTATTATTATTTCCTTTAATTCATAGAGGAACAATGGGCTTCATATGCACATCTCCACTGAGTTCGGTTCACTGGCTCCACGTCTGCCCACATGCTTTCATCTCATATCTTCACATCACCTCCTCCAAGTCACCCTTACACTGACGACCAATTCTCCGCTTCCCTTTCAGGTTCCACTCGAGCACTGGCTTGTCTAGTGATGTCATTTGATGGTTTGTTTTCTCACGGTATGACCAACCCACCTCCATTTCTTCCTGTCTATTTGTTTCACAATCGGTTCCTGGTTGGTTCGCTTCCGAAGATCCCTGTTGCTGATCTTTTCTGTCTGGCCATCTGATCTTGAGTATTGAGCGAAGACAGCTAGCTGTTGATGAAGGTCTGTAGTTTGTTTGATAGGCTCTTTATGACGCGCGCTGGCCAATTCTCTGATCCGTATAACAAGTAGCACTGACTTCACATTGGAGTTGAAAATCCGGATCTTATTTTTGATGCTGAGTGCTGTTGACCTCCATACAGACTAGAGAGTAATGAAAGCTTGTCTTGTTTTGGTATCCTCGTCACTTTCGCCTGTAATTGAAACGATGCCTCCCAGGTAGGTAAAGGAGGTAGCTTCTTTTAGGGTTCTTCCCATTTATGCTGGCTGATTGTTGTCTGTTGTTGTTGTGGCCAGAAATCTTCATCCCCTCTGTAGTGTAACTTGAAACCCACCAAATCCCTGTAACAAGTCAACGAATAACACTTGCAAAGCCCACTTGAAAATAAGCAAGTTTCACGCTCAAAGCGAATTTTTCCCTGACAAGAACCACTGACACATTTATCATATTTCTTAACATGGAAGGATGTGCGTGATAATTTCTAGCAATTGAGGTCTGATGAGAAAGTATGTTTCAGCTAGTGGTAAGGGATTATCTTCAAATGAGACAGGTGTGTAACAGTCTATGGAGATAACAGTCAGTTTGTGATGACACCAATTCACGTCAATGTTACGTCCCGAATCGGAGCCATAACAAGAAAAAAGAATAAAAAAAAAGCTTAAACTTGAGAAAATCACCAACCAATCACAGCAGACTTAACGTGTACAAATACGATTCACAGATAAATGGCTTAACTTTCTAAGAAACGGTCAGCCAGTCACAAGCAGTGAAGAATAACCTTCAGCAAGGAAACAACCAATCAGAAGACGTCACTTCTCTCCCAACAATAATGCTAATTAATAATGTACATAAAAATCTATAAATATCTCTCAATAAACGATCTGTCTTATGTCGTTCGTTGCAATTCGAGTGCTATTCCCCCTTTATTTTCCATACATATAGTTAGGTTATCCTCTCAAAGAATTAATTTAAAAAGGTTGCTTACCTCATCTTGATAATCGACCAATGGACGTGTGTGTTTGTGTGTTTCACCATTATTACGTGAATCAGTAGTATGGGGGACAACAGTAGGCAGTCGTTGAGCAGAACAGTCTATTTTCGCCACCTTTGTCTCATTGACACTTCGATGATGATTGTCAATTTGCCTGCAGGGATTGTTACTACTTGATAAAGAAGAACGACTACTATCAGTGGTGGAGTGCTGGTTGTTGTAGCGGTGGTTTTGATGTTTAGTTTCACCAAATGATGATGTGACAGTTGACTGTAATGGCGTCGGTCGTTCACTCCATAACTCCGGTTGATTCTCCTTTCCATAAAGTAACTAAGAGAAAAAACGATTATTACAATGAAAAAAGACATACGAGAAATAAAGTTGGCTATGCAAGTGAAAATAAAAGTTTAAGGAAAGGGGAGAGAGTGTTGGTGTGGTTTACAGGGATTTGATTTGATTGGCTACAAGATTGCATCAGCATGAACTGACATCGCCTAGAGGACCTTCCTCGACGGGCATCGGGTCACAAGCTGGAAAAGCCAAAAGTGGTGGTTAAACCAAAACATGGCTTCTTCAGTCAATGAAATTCACAACAGTTCGTTTATGCTAACCACCTAGGAAGACGTAGACTGCGAGGTTGCGGTCCTTAGTATGGCAAACACTAACGAAGTCTGGAGAAAATTGGTGATATGGCTTAAAATCGTTCTTAATGGCGCGGGCAAATGCATCCACTCCTTTTGACTTACAATGTCCAATAAAATTCTGTGGTTCTTGAATATTACCTTTCTGTTTGCTTCATAACTCTACTCGTACTCATACAGCCAGGTGAGGGCTTATGGCGAGCTGTCATCTGAACTGGTGACGACCAGTGGTGTCCGTCAAGGATGCCCATTATCTCCTTTTCTATTCAACTTCATCATAGATGTGTTAATGGACTTAACCCTAAGTGACTTCAGCGACTCGGGGATTGACTTGTTACCAGGGAATGATCTCGTTGACTTAGAATATGCAGACGATATAGTCCTCCTAGGCGACGACTCTGACAAAATGCAGAGTCTTCTAAACACCTTGAGCAGTAGCAATCTACGAATGTTTGGCATGCGATTCGCTCCCGCCAAATGCAAGATGATGTTACAGAACTGGACTACATCGACGCCTAGTTTAAAAATAGGAAGTGAAGTGGTAGAGCACGTTGACCGCTTCACTTATTTGGGAAGTACCATCAACCAGTGCCAACCGGTTGATCTCTGACGAAATCTCAGCACGAATACAGGGGGCTCGTTTCGCATTTGCCAGTTTACGCGGTCTCTGGCGTAGACGAGATGTTCGACTATCGACCAAAGGGCGGGTGTACTGCTCATCAGTCCTCTCCGTCCTCCTTTATGGTTGTGAGACCTGGCCACTGAGAGTGGAAGACATGAAAAGACTAGCTGTCTTTGATCATAGGTGCCTGCGCTCTACATTCCCGCATCGTCCTGGAGAGATTAAAGGACGCACTGGATACAGAACTCCGACCAGAACATGCTGGATTCAGGAAAGACAAATCATGTACTGACCAAATGGCAACTCTACGCATCATCATCTTCGAACAAAGCATGGAATGGCGATCAAACCTCTACTTCAACTTTATAGACTTTGAGGAGGCCTTCGGCAGTTAGCGTTGACCGTGAGGTAATTTGGAAATTACTCGAGTACTATGGCGTACCCCAAATATTCATCAACCTTATTAAACAGCTGTATGACAACGGCACATGTCAAGTGATCCACAACCCAAAACTCAACAAGGCGTTTGGAGTAAACACAGGAGTCAGACAAGGGTGCTTATTATCACCAATGATATTCCTAATTGTGGTGGACTGGATTATACGTCAGACAGTGGGTAACGAGAAGACAGGAATATCGTGGACCGACGCGAAGAACCTAGAAGACTTGGATTTCATGCGTGGATGATATACGTTTGATGTCACACAAAATCGAAGACTTACAAGCGAAAACCGACAAACTGGTCGAAGAACCATCCAGCGAAGACAGGACACCCAAGTGAACATAGACAAGACGGAGGTTATAAAAATAACCAACCAACCAAGAACAACAACAGCAACATCCAGCGTCAATCACCATCAACAGGAGGGACTTGAAAGAGGTTGCTTCATTCACTCACTTATCTAGGGAGCATTGTCTCAACTATAGACAGTCGGAACGGACGAGGATGTCAAATCGATCGAGAATCGGGAAGGCGAAAAACACATTCATCAACCTGAAACAACAAATCTGGAAATCTTCGTCACTCAATTCAGCATCAACAACAGAATTCGGTCGGATTTTCAATACAAACGTCAAGTCGGTCAGTTCTTCTATACAGATGAGAAACTTGGTGGGTGGGTCACAAAGAATATTTCCAACAGCCTGTTGCAGACCTTTACTAACAACTGTCTTCGCTGTATACTGAAGATCAGATGGCCCGGCCGGAAGGAATCACCAACAAGGAATTATGGGAACAAACAAAGCGAGAATCAATCGCCCACCAACAGCAAATATGCAGGAGAAAGTGGAGATGGATTGGACACTCGCTGAGGAGACCGCTGGGTGACATCGCGCGTCAAGCCCTCGAGTGGAACCCGAAAGCGAGTCGGTGTGTGGGACGTACAAGGGTGACATGGAGGAGATCGTGTGAAGAGGAGTTGAAAGAGTATGGACTAAGATGGTTACAGGTGAAAAGTACAGCAGAAGGGAGACAGAAGCAAATGGAGACGTGCAGTTGAAGCCCTATGTTCCACTAGGAACCCAAGGGAGCAATAATAATAATAATATAATCTAGTAACGCCCTACCCCACCAACATGCGGGAATGTACACTTGTCTGACACACACTCCCCAATACAGGGAGCCAAACTGTAAGTCATTTTCACTTGAATGAATATGGAATACCCAGACTTTGATCTCACGCATCAGCCACCCATTTCTAGTTTGCACCATCATTGGTCTAAGCCTCCCCAATGTGTTAAATCTCATCCGTAGATGTTCGTTCAGCTCAACATCCACGGCCCGGTGGATAGAATCAGGAGACAATGCGGCGACTTCGTTAGGAATCCTTTCTTCTTCTCTTTTCAAATGTACTGCCTTCAACAAAGGCACTGATACAGTGATGCTATCCTCTACGTTAGTGTTACTCAAATGGAGAGTTGGGATCACTAGAACCTTCAATTCGCAGTTATTCAGAATACAGCTAGCACACCTGGCAAATAACGGAACCACCTTCGTCATGAATTCTGTTAACAAGCTCAAAGCTGGTCTTGTTTGTAACTGCAAACGCCAGAATTATGGTGTACTTACCGATGACTTCAAAATTTTATAGATTTTTGAACACCATGAATTATTCACTGATAATTACTGTTCATTCTGCATCCCTTTTGTTTCATTTCAGCACATGTACGAAAATGCTACTTCCTCCTCACAACTAACGTAATCATTTATAATTTCCACTTGAAAATGAAATGCAGTAGTTAACTTAAAATGCACATCGATGGACTAATTCACGCACGGTTTCAATAAACATGGCACCTAGGATTTTGAAAGCTTTACAAATTAGTCATCACATTCTATAATACTCAGATTCCCAAAGTCCTCAGCCTACTTATGTAACTGAATCAGTTTCCTGATGAGATTATTGGCCCGGTCTGTGCAAAAATTATGAGATTAGCATATTTAAGGTACTGATAGTGTTATCAGTTGGCTATAACATAACAGATATCACTAAATGTGATCTGTGTAATTACCCAACAAATCAGTATTCAACCTAACTCGTTAGTACTGACTAAAAGATGCATATTATAAAGACTCAGTTAACTAGTAGTGAGCTCTAATGAGCATTATCTCTGAATAAAATGAAAAGTAAAAGTTGTTAAGAAGAAACATGTTAGAAATTATCTAGATGGAGTGACTGAATTACAGGTACAGATAATGTCCGTATTGATGGAACAAGGAAAGAGTATAGTATGGCGTTTGAGCCAGATAGAATATATACCCGTTCAAGCGAAAACTTTAAACATCGAGAGGTGCAATAATGTGGTGATTAACAATTTCTATCTCTGTATTGTTTCAATACTTACTGTTGATTGTTAATATGTTTCTTATATGAATTGCATAATTCCGCTAAATACAAATTCCTGAATTCCGCCCTCTCTGTGTTTTGTTTGGATTCTTGTAATTCGGTCATCTTGAAATACTAATACTACGATTACAATAAATTACTACAAATTGGCGTCGCGATGGAACTAAATAACCTGGGAAAATTTCCTATTAATGGGTCTCCGCGGGAGATTGCTGATTATTTGGAATGCTTCGATGCGTGGTGCATTTCAAAGAATGTTCGGGATGACAAAATACCAGCACATTTCATCACTGCTATTGGGCTAGATGCGTATAGCCTAGTAAAGACTCTGTCATTTCCAGATAAACCTATTTCTCTGCCATATTATAAACCTCGTGAACTTCTGATAAATCACTTTCATGTAACTACTTTTGAGACCAGAGAGAGGGCTCAATTCAACAAACTGGTTCGTGCTCCCAACCAGAAGATTAGAGACTTTATTCTTCAACTCCAAATACAAGCTTCAAAGTGTAACTTTGGAGATCAGCTGCATACTCAACTACGTGATCGTCTAATTGCTGGAATCAATATTCCTAAGTTAGAGAAAGAGTTAATTCAGATTCCTTCTTGTACCTTTCAAACTGCTAAAGATTTATGTATTACATATGAAGATGTCAATAGTGAATACTCTGCTCCCACTACGTCAGTATCTGATGTCATGTTGTCCAAAGTCGAAAATACAAGTGTTCATGGAAAGCAATCCAAATTGTCGTCCACAGGTAATAGAATGCAGCGAGAGATCAAAAACACTAAACCGTGTTTATCCTGTGGAAAGTTACATCTACGAAGCACTTGCCGTTTTCGGGGTGCTAAGTGTCACAAATGTGGTAAAGTTGGACACATCAAGACTGTTTGCAGAAGTTCGAATACTTATGCTGCTCAACATTCTTATAATTCTCCCAAGCTGTCTAGTAAAATGGAGTCAATGTGTCTTTCAACTTTTCAAAATACTCAATCTCATCCAATGAAAACCTCCACTACAAGTTCAGCAACTCAAGTGTCAACTGTTTTCAAAAATGAGGTAGCCGAGTTACAATGCGAACTGTCGAAAACACGAGAAAAACTGAATGAGATGAGAGAGCAACTGATTAAAATGGAGGAATTGTTGCATATGCATAGACTGCGTCTGTTGAATGCAGAGCATACAAGTACCCGTGAAAGTCCTGCAAAACTTTTCAAATCTCGAATTCTCAAAAAGCATCTGATGTCCACGACTTCTAATGTACATTACTACAAAGATAATAACTATAGACCTTCTGTTGGAATTATACTACAAAAAATGGGAAATCGAGTGGTGAAGATATTAGACATCAAAGATCACTCAGTTCATAACAGACACCTGGACAAAGTGACAATAAATGAAGTAGGTCGTTCCAATTATTATTTTAATGATTCCGCTAATAATCCTGATTTTGTAGATAATTCAGAAATAGGTCCAGATAATACTGATGAAAATAATATCACAGAATCAGTTAGAAGGTCGCAGCTACTTGCAAGCAAACCGAGACATCGTTATAAATACGCAAGGAGACATTCGACGTGTGGCGGATGTGGTGATTGACAATTTCTATCTCTGTATTGTTTAAATACTTACTGTTGATTGTTAATATGTTTCTTATATGAATTGCATTATAATTCCGCTAAATACAAATTCCTGAATTCCGCCCTCTCTGTGTTTTGTTTGGATTCTTGTAATTCGGTCATCTTGAAATACTAATACTACGATTACAATAAATTACTACAAATACACATTTACAATTTTAAATATTCTGCTCAGTCCATACATTTCCTGACTCAGACCTACGGTGTCAGCTAATCATGACGTACGGTTCTGTCTAACAGATAATTCAGAAACCCTTGAGGACGAAAGCCATCGAATAGTACAGCAAACATTACAACAAATACTTCAGCTGAGTAAAAACGCTGATATTTCTCTTTTAAAATAATAAAACGTAGCGTCTGTTATGATTATAGCATTTCTATCAGCACGTAACACAATACCACATGGAAGCAACCACCTTGGGGAATCTTAGTCGTAATTTACAAACATCGTTCAGAGTAATAAAGCTGGAGGCGAAGGATCGGCAAGTCAGCTTTGTAATAGCTCGTATCGCCACCCATCTGACACCGTTGTCCAGTTAAATTTATCTCCGTATCTAAAGAGATGTTCTTTACTGCAGCAGCAGCTCTTAACACAAAACGCCCAAACAAAGGATCGAATTAAGCGAACGTAATTATCTTGTTAGACCAATCAGGTGAACCAGTAATAAACTCGCTGTCAGCCACATCTCGTAAACCGTTAATTCCCAGCTCTTGCTGCACTCGGGCTCATGTTCCTTGAAGTTTCTCAGAAACGCCTAGTAATAATGGACGCAAAACCAAAACACCAATTGGCGACTCGAGGATTCTTTATTGTGACACCAACGTATAAACACTGTTACAACTAAGGTCTGTGAACAAATATTACAATAATAAATCACAATATTACTTCTGACGGTTTATTGCTGACTTCTTTCTGAACAGCGACCGATGAGACGATGACTGTCGTATTGATGCCTCCGCGAAATTGGGGAAGTTGGTTTTGAGCAAACAGCCATGAATTGATCGTTCAATCTTCAACTACATTGACACTCGCATTGTTCAAAAAACCCTTATAGACATTGAATTCAATGTTAAAATATGGTAAAATGGGTTACCTTCTCGCGACTGTCCCAAGAAAACGTCTTAATTGCTTATTGTAGTCCACAGTGATAGTTCAAACCTACTTCTGTATATAAATTCATCCAGATAATCGTATGTCTGGGTGTTTCTTGACACATTCACTGTTCTACAGAGCCAATAGACCCAAGAGAGGAACGGCATATCTTCTTGAACAGATTTTATATAATTACAGACTGGACATCTGTGTACATATCAATCAACAGTGGATGCATACTTCTTTAGAGGCATGACCGCTCCACATCGACAAGCTTCCTGAGCCTTTTATCCTTAAAGTACTCGGATAATACTCCTTGAAGGAGTTTCACAGTCATTCGTTCAATGCATATATACTTCTGCCTATTCAATTACAAAATCATCCGGTTGGTTGCACCAAAGCCATTACGTTCATCTGTTAGGTGGTTTTGTTTTGGGTCACTATAGTTTATGGTGAACCTCGAAGCCTCAGGCAAAAGACATACCATTCCTTTTTTAAGCTTATGGATGCCATAGGGAAATGAATCAATCAGTCACGAAATAGCATGATTTACATTTATGCGCAAAAATTAGTTTAAAGTATCACTGTTGAACTAGATATTTTTGCAACGTGTGCGAGGATGTTATCCGTCATTTTTCCCAGTAACTTCGATCCCTACAGAATTTTATTTTAGATTACGCGCCCTATATCATAGTCTCATATGGGCGGTTGACAAAGATCATTCAGGCACCCACTAGCTTAGGCCACTTTAGCACAGGGAAACACAGCTGTCATTAGTAGTGATCATAAAGAATCCACCAAACAGGCCATTGTAAAAAATTCTAATGAGAATAGATCAGATGAGAATGGCTAAATCGAAGGTGGTATTAAAACTGAAGATCAAAAAAGCGAACATGACATCTGTACAACCCTTTTAAAAACCGCCTTTCTCCACCTCCTACTAAGGTCGGTAACCATCTCAATTTATGTCCGCACACTTACCTCATTGGTTCTCCAACAGTCGCTCGAGGTCACGGACACTTAGACCAGTGATAATTTCAAGGATATTTCTAGGTTGATATCACCATTCTCAGAATTGAGAAGGATTCAGCATTCACAACTGGAATGCAGATTTTGAAGTGAATTTACTTTCTAGAAAATAAGCAATTATTACACTAAACAGTGACAGTCAGGTCAGCGGAATTCCGTATCGAAAAAAGATAGCCGCCTCTCGCTTAAGTCATTATAATAACAATAATAATTTGTAGTTCGTATAAACGAGTAAGTTTACAAGAAAAACATGCTGTCAATGTAGTTGAAGATTGAATTCATGGTTGTTTGCTCAAACCGAACTCCTCCATATTTTTCGCTGGAGTCATCAATACGACAGTCATCGTCACATCGTTCGCTATTCGTTGGAAGAGAGAAACTATCAGAAGTATTATTGCGATTTATTGTTATAACATTTTTTCTCAGACATTGTGTACAATAACTTAATGGTTGGTTCTGTATTGGTGCAAGAATAAAACGGTCCCTGAGTCACCAATTTCCGTTCTAGTTTTTCGTGTTAGTTATTACGCATAGTTTCCGAAAGTCTTTTAGGGACAGCGTGAGGTCCAGTGTACTAAGACCTGGACAGTGACACATGCCATTTTTACAGGCACGATCAGAAGCTTAACTCGTTACCTAAACCACTTAGCTAAAGAACTAAAATCCGGCCATCTGTAATATTAATGTGTCATAGTCAGTAGCAAAAGGGCTTACTCCGACACTTAGGTGATAACGTCGGCCAGTTACAGGAAACGCACTTGATGGCATTAAAACATGTAACTCTGATGGAAATAACCTTGCTAAAACAGTTGAAACTTATTAAGATTGCACCTAAAATTCACTGTCTTTGTAAAAAGACTTGCCACTTAGTAATGGAGCGTACATCACTTGATGTGTAGAAGGTAATTGATCGTATCTGAGAAACACAGTGACCTACGGGTGATTCATTTAAAGATCTATCTACAGAACCTTTATATGAACGGATGTATGTTACATTTATTCCCGTTCACCCAGCGAGATTCCTCAGTTTATAGGAACTGCCTAGTGTATGACGGACGCCATCAGTCTTCATCATTTCAGATGAGAACCATTCTTAAGCTCTTACACGACTGCATGAGTTCGAGTGGGATGCTCCGATTGGTGAAATATTCTTTTTCAGTACTTTTTTCAAAGCTAGACATCTTCGCTATGCATCACGTTCGACAGAATCAAATACTACCCCCTGCGGGTCAATAGTTATGACAAGTGTTGAAGTGTGAAGATATGATTGGTTTTGATGTGTTTGCTTCTCCAGAGCACCACCCAGTATACGCACAACTACTGAACCTAGAATAGTAGACAGCATGTTAATCAAGCTAATCCCCCTTTGTAATTATTATAGGAATATTAGTTTCCCCCCTTATGAACTGCGACGATCGATTTGAACCGATTCAGCTGGACTACCCTATGTTCCCTAATATCTCAGTTAACCCGGACAATACTCTACCACCGCCATCAGATGCCGCTGCATTGTCCCGTCCTATATAACGGACATCTACTCGGGCAACCTCAGTTACATCTGGAGGACCAATGTCAGCGACCCATTCAGGCACTTGTGATAGATTACTGCGACATATAATAATAATAATTATATTTCCATATAAATTTACATAAAGAACGTCGAGCTAACAGCAACCTGTCGAGCTGCCAACCAACACAGACAGAGAATAGTGGCGTCTTCCCTTGCTTTGTGTACTACATAGTGTGGTGACCCGGATTGCTACACACCCGCGCAAAGTTCTACGCCAAAACCAGTCAGTCGGAAGTGCGGTCCATTCCTTGAGAGATAAGCCTACATGTTCACGTAACATGATGTCCGGTATCGACCATGAATGTATGTCAGGTAAAATAAGGACTCAAGTGGCCAACATTGCTCAACCATTCCACACCCTACGCAGTAGTCGATTTTACACTTATGACACACCGAGAATCCCACCCTGACACACACACACACCCACATAGTAATAACTACAGAAGACATGATTGAAAATTAAAACAAATTAAACTGTAATAACAATAGTATTAATAGTGAAAGAATACAACCGATGGTGCTACACAGCGGTAACATTAACCAACAACACAACAACAGAAGATTGGTAATAAAGAACCGCATTTTTTTTCTCTAATTTCAAGAAGTCACGGTGATGAAAACAAGACAGTATATAAAAAAAACTAAATTAAAATGTACTGCATCACTTGAACTATGCATGCTTGACTCCCCCTGTAACACCCATTTCTCCACAATACACAAACACACACACACACAGCGAAAACTACTCACACATGTATCGATCTCACAGTTAGTATACTTCTTTAGTGAAAATAATATTTAGAAAAAAAGCTATTTAAAACAAATGGGAATAAGTGTCTTTAAAAGAAAGGAAAAAGAGACTAGAAACTCAACTGTACACTGACTACTACACTTCCAAGCAACCCCCCCCCATGAAGAGAATACGTGGATGGACGGATGCCTGGCGGGCTGATAGATGGGTTTAAGAAACACCGATGATGTGTGTGTGACTAACGAAGGTAGATACAACAATTAGAAGAGAAAGAAAAAAGACAAAACAATCAGTGGGATTAGCGACAGCAGTATGGGTGAACGAAGACTAACTGAATGCGTGAAAGTATAGGCGATGATGGATTGAACGAGAACACTGCATTTTCTTCTTCGCACACACACACACACACACACACACGCATACACTATGGGGCACCTGATACGCCTTTCCTTCTTTCTTATCATCGTTTATTTCAGCGGGACAACATGTAATGAGAAGGGAAGAGAGAAGGACATGTAGTTCGCTTATCTCACCTATATCCAGCATTTTCATGTGATCGTTTATGGTGTTTGTTATGATGAGAATGCCGCCGATCATATCTTGAATCTAAAGAATCACGTCGTCTATAATTCATACTGTCACGACGATCATCATCGTGATGATGATGATGGCGATGTTTATTATTATCACGATGTCGACTTCGACTGCGTTCAAAACGTCGATGATGGTGATCACCGCCACCGGTATGATGTCTTGAAACACCAGAATCATTCTCATCATCGTCATAGCGTGAATGTGAACTATGCTTTGACGAATGACTTTTATGCTTTTTCTTATGACGTTTACTGTTATTGCTGCTGTTGTTGTTGTTGTTGTGATTGCTTCCAGCGCCACTTCCGCCGCCACCAGTGTGTTTACTATGCCAATCAGAGGATGACGACAACGATTTAATGCTATCACTGATTCTCGGCTTTTTTTCATGATAAGCATTTAACGGGATCCATACAATACCAGAATCAGAATCACTGCTAGACGACGACGACTTATATCTTCGTTTAGATGGTGGAGACAACAGTGTTGCTGCCTTCTCTGATGATGAATCATTATCAGATTTCTGAAACAACCAAAGAAGAAGAAGAAGAAACCACATAAGAGTGAAATCAATATTACACCAAATCATCAAATAAAAGTAATACTACATTGAGTGAAATCTGGGATTCATACAGGTTTGAAAGGGGACATTTCACAGTTCCCTCTGGAAACCAAAGTTATACAGATCGTACACGGTATATGATCCCTTTGATGCCATATATATATATATATATATACTACTGGCAGATTGAAATAAGTAGTTTCAGACTACCCAAATCAACCCAGTAGGTGAATGTTAGACAGACAGACTGAAGTTACTTGATATCAGAATACAACACTTGTGCACTGTGGTGGTAGAGCATAACTCCATTGTGGGTAAAATTTATTTTGACAATGTCTCATACAATGTTATGATGTAGTAATATTTAGAACACAATTTATCCCTACTCATAATCATATCAAGGCACTACTACTAACACAACTTTCTAACTTCATTTATATAATTCAACCATTTCCCCTCAATTGATTTGATTGTTAATAGTTGTTTCCATATTTCTGGTATGAAAGATGAGTTATTTCTGTTGCATGTGTTCGGTTGGGTGTAGACTCGATGAACCAGTCAGGATTCAGTAATCGACGTCTCTCGCTCTTCATCCATCTATATTGCTTAGAATTCTGACTCTGTCCAACTCACCATAATGTGTGGTTGTGTGTTACTGCATGGAGTGCAATTCCCGAGTTTTTTTTCTAAATTACTCATCTTCTCTGGTTAGGTCAACCATGCTTACCTCAGCTAAATTCTTATGTTCTGGTAATCTGACTACCCTTGACCTGATCAACCAGTTTGACCCCACTTCACCTATTTGGGAAGTTGTATTAGCACCAACGGACTGATTGGCGATGAAATCTCAGCACGGATCCGAAAAGCTCGAGCTGCTTTCGCTGACTTACACCATCTCTGGCGTAGGCGTGACATCCGGTTATCAACCAAGGGACGTGTGTACTGCTCAGCAGTTCGCTCCGTCCTTCTCTATGGCTCTGAAACACGGCCAATACGCGTTGAAGACATGAAAAGGTTGACTGCTTTCGATCATAGATGTCTGCGATCTCTGTCTCACGTCAGATGGTTTAATAAGGTAAGTAATGTTGACGTTAGGCATAGAGTGTTGGGCAAACAGGGAGAATCAATCGACGAGGCTATAAAGTTACGTAGACTGAGATGGCTAGGTCACGTGGTGCGCATGCCTAACCACCGCCTCCCCCACCAGACGGGCATTACTAGCTGATATAGGTGGTGCAGGTTGGAAAAGAGTAAGTGGTGGCCAAACAAAAACATGGCCTCATCAATCCATGAAATCCTTGACAGTTAAACTGAGTCGGTCAAGTAGGGTAGAGATGCAGACTTCCAGGTTGGGGCCCTCGGGACTGACTCTAGGAATCAATCAGTGGCTGGAGACAATAGGTGACATGGCTCAAAATCGTTGTCAATGGCCAGCTCAGATGTATTCAGTCTCTGTAATCTTTCATGTTCCTTTCTACCATTACCCATTCTCTTTCACTCTTATACTTGTCAAACTCTATTGATTCTCTTCACTCATCTTCTTGTCTACCTCTGTGTGCTATTTGGAACGTGGCAACTGGAACTGCTGCACTTCGGTGCCAAGTTGTATGTTGAATCCAGACAGACAGACAGACCAGTTTGACCTATGCAGTCCATCTAACTCACAGTCATTGCAAAGTATTTTGTAAAATTGGGTCAGCGGTTAGGACTCTCGCCGACCATGCACATGGTCCGGGTTTCGATCCCCTGCCGACGCACACCTGATATCAATGATCGACCTGCAAAATTTGGGCTACAGATATCACATACCAAAATATTCCATACTTGTAGCAAAAGTACGCTGTAGAATCAAGCTATTGTGAGTGACTCTGTAGGCTTAAATGCCACCTGAATTCCTGCTTCAATAAGAATCCTATATTTGGGGTTCTAGTGGGAAGCTGTGACCAGTGGGTTACAGCAGGTTAAAGGTATGGCAGTAACTCAACAAATAAGACATTACGAAGTGATCGTATAACATCATGAATTGGCAGAAGTTGGAATTCGTGTGCTGGTCATTGGATCAGGTCTCAGTGGGAATTAATGGTCTACAACCTCACTCGTCTTGTAACAAGAAGTTCCTGGGTTCGAACCCCTGGCGGTGGTTGCGTCTGTCTGTCTGGATTCAACATAGAACTTGGCACCGAAGTGCAGCAGTTCGAGTTGCCACGTTCCAAATAGCACACAGAGGTAGACAAGAAGATGAGTGGAGAGAATTAATAGAGTTTGACAAATATAGGAGTGAAACAGAATGGGTAATGGTAGAAAGGAATATGAAAGATTACAGAGATTGAATACATCTGCGCCATTGACAACGATTTTGAGCCATGTCACCTATTGTCTCCAGCCATTGATTCCTAGAGTCCCGAGGGCCCCAACCCGGGAGTCTGCATCTCCCTACCTGACTCAGTTTAACTGTCAAGGATTTCATGGATTGATGCCATGTTTTTGTTTGGCCACCACTGGCTCTTTTCCAACCTGAACCTATATCAGCTAACAATGCCCGTCGGGGGAGGCGGTGGTTAGGCATGCGCACCACGTGACCTAGCCATCTTAGTCTATGTAACTTTATAACCTCGTCGATTGATTTTCCCTCTTTGCCCAACACTCTACGCCTAACGTCAACATTACTTATCTTGTGAAACCACCTAACGTGAGAAAGAGATCGCAGACATCTATGATCGAAAGCAGTCAACCTTTTCATGTCTTCAACGCGTATTGGCCATGTTTCAGAGCCATAGAGAAGGACGGAGCGAACTGATGAGCAGTACACACGTCCCTTGGTTGATAACCGGATGTCACGCCTACGCCAGAGATGGTGTAAGTCAGCGAAAGCAGCTCGGTGGTTGCGTACTGCAAAAGAGTCCCAAACTGACTGTTCCGTACTCCCTGCAGGTTTTCCAATGGTTTTCTAACTGATGTCAGCTCATGAAGAAATCCTCCAATCAATAATATTAATATTTTTTCCTGTAGGTTGTGAGTAGAACATAAGGCTTCATACAAAAGCACATCTCCATTTAGTTCTATTCTATACAGTCTTCTTTAGATAACTCCACATAATTGCCTATAACGTCTCATCTCCTCATTCACACAAGGTCTCCTGTATGTCATCCTCGGATTAACGGCTAACTCGTTGTAACCCATTAATTGAACTCCACACGAGTGAGTTGGCTGGTGCATGATATCACTCAACCAACTCCATTTCCTTTGACATATTTTTTTCAGTCAGAATGCTGCTACTTAATTATAAACCCTCAATTGTCGATTAAAGTTGTATACAAAGTCAGTGCTTTCTGTCTGTCTGGATTCAACATAGAACTTGGCACCGAAGTGCACCAGTTCGAGTTGCCACGTTCCAAACAGCACGCAAAGGTAGACAAGAAGATGAGTGAAGAGAATCAATACAGTCTGACAAGTATAAGAGCAAAATAGAATGGGTAATTGTAGAAAGGAATATGAAAGATTACAGAGACTGAATACATCTGAGCTGGCCATTGACAACGATTTTGAGCCATATCACCTATTGTCTCCAGCCACTGATTGATTCCTAGAGTCAGTCCCGAGGGCCCCAACCCGGACGAAAGTCTGCATCTCCTACCCTACCTGACTGACTCAGTTTAACTGTCAAGGATTTCATGGATTGATGAGGCCATGTTTTTGTTTGGCCACCACTTACACTTTTCCAACCTGCACCTATATCAGCTAGTAATGTCCGTCGGGTGGGGGAGGCGATGGTTAGGCATGCACACCACCTGACCTAGCCATCTCAATCTATGTAACTTTATAGCCTCGTCGATTGATTTTCCCTCTTTACCCAACACTACGCCTAACGTCAACATTACTTACCTTATTAAACCACCTAACGTGAGACAAAGATCTCAGACATCTATGGTCGAAAGCAGTCAACCTTTTCATGTCTTCAATTCGTATTGGCCATGTTTCAGAGCTTTGGTGTAATGCAAGTCGCATTGACCACAAATTCTTATCTATATAGAGTAATTTGGAATTAGAAAATGGGAGACACACACACACATGACTTCTTCTTTGTGCACACAGCCACCAATTACACTGATGTTTAATAAGAAACAGATAACCTTTCGTTTTATGGCCACTGAAAGTGGAAGATACGAAAAGCCTGGTTAGCTGTCTTTCATCGTAGGTGTATGCGTTCTATCTCCCGTGTTAGTTGGCGTGGTATAATAGGATGAGGAATATTGAGGTTAGATAGGCATCGGTCGAGTGCTAGGTGAAGGAGGAGGGAGGGGAAATCAACCGACGAGGTTGTGCAGTTACATAGATTGAGACGGTTAGGATACGTGTGTTACGCATGTTTGCCTAACCACAGCCTTCCTCAACAACGGGAAATGTTAGCTGCCAACATAGGATTGATGAGGTTAGAAAAGAGAAAGCTAGTAGCGGTCAAACCAAAACATGGCTTCATCAGTCAATGAAATCCATAATAGTTGGTTTAAGCCAGCCAGCCATACAGGGAGGTGTACACTTCCAGCCTGGTTAGGGTCATTGAGGTGGTAAGAACACCAATGAAGGCTGGAGACAATTGGTGGGCAATAAGGCTCATTACTGTCTTCTGTTGCTTTGTGTGCTACATGGAGGAAGAGTGGCAACTGAAACTGCTGCTGGGGACATCACTCGTACCCAATTCCCATGAAACTTCATCAACTCTCTTACAAACATTCGAGATGTTCATGAAGCCGGTGGTTCATCCTCCCGTAGGAGATAGCCGAAGTAAAGTAAAGTAAGTAAGAAACTGCTGCTGGACATCTGTGCAAAGGCAGTTCTCCACGTTGAAACCAGTCAGTCAGTTTCGTTTATTACCAGGACTATATGTGTGTATGCCATCTCTCATGCAATTACACTTGCCTTCTTTAATTGCCATTTATGTTATCAGGTAGACCACTACAGATTACAGTGTAATTTACCACTTTTCTTTATAGAGAAGTACCCTATCTGTAAGTATACAAAGTCCCAAACTGAGGCGAAACAGCGAGTTGTCCAATACTCGCTCGCTTTGCCAACTGATATCAATATTCAGCGTAACTTATTATTATTTCCTTTAATTCATAGAGGAACAATGGGCTTCATATGCACATCTCCACTGAGTTCGGTTCACTGGCTCCACGTCTGCCCACATGCTTTCATCTCATATCTTCACATCACCTCCTCCAAGTCACCCTTACACTGACGACCAATTCTCCGCTTCCCTTTCAGGTTCCACTCGAGCACTGGCTTGTCTAGTGATGTCATTTGATGGTTTGTTTTCTCACGGTATGGTCAACCCACCTCCATTTCTTCCTGTCTATTTGTTTCACAATCGGTTCCTGGTTGGTTCGCTTCCGAAGATCCCTGTTGCTGATCTTTTCTGTCTGGCCATCTGATCTTGAGTATTGAGCGAAGACAGCTAGCTGTTGATGAAGGTCTGTAGTTTGTTTGATAGGCTCTTTATGACGCGCGCTGGCCAATTCTCTGATCCGTATAGCAAGTAGCACTGACTTCACATTAGAGTTGAAAATCCGGATCTTATTTTTGAAACTGAGTGCTGTTGACTTCCATACAGACTAGGGAGCAATGAAAAGCTTGTCTTGCTTTGGTATCCTCGTCACTTTCGCCTGTCTGTCTGTTTTCGACATAGAACTTTGCACAAATGTGCGGAAGTTCAAGTCGCCACATTCCGTGTAGCACGCGAAGCAAGAGAAGAAAGTACAAGAAAAGCATATTAGAAACAGTGAGCAAGGGTGTGAGACAAAGGAGAAATAAAAAAAAACAAAACAGTTTCATTGAAGATCATAAGTCACAGGGAGTGGATGCATCTGCGCTAGCCACTGAGAACGATTTTGAGCTAGCCATGTCACCAATTGTTTCCAACCATAGATTTTTACCGTCCCGAGGACCCCAGCCTGGAAGTCTACACCTTCCTACGTTGCTGTCTTAGACCAACTGTTGTGGATTTCATTGACTGGTGAAGCCAAGTTTTTGTTTGACCGCCGCTAGCTTTTTTCCAGCCTGACCCTATATCCGCTAACATTGCTCATTGTCGAGGGAGGCGATGACTTGGCATACGCAACACATGTCCTAACCATCTCAGTCTTTGTAGCTTCACGACTTCGTCGATTGATTTCCCCTGTTTACCTAGAACTCGACTGATGCCTAACCTCAATGTTGCTCACCTTATTATGCCACTTTACACGGGAGATAGATCGCAGGCACCTATGATCAAAGACAGCTAGTCTTTTCGCCTGTAATTGAAACGATGCTTTCCAGGTAGGTAAAGGAGGTAGCTTCTTTCAGGGTTCTTCCCATTTATGCTGGCTGATTGTTGTTGTTGTCGGCCAGAAATCTTCATCCCCTCTGTAGTGTAACTTGAAACCCACCAAATCCCTGTAACAAGCCAACCAATAACACTTGCAAAGCCCACTTGAAATGTAAGCAAGTTTCACGCTCAAAGCGAATTTTTCCCTGACAAGAACCACTGACACATTTATCATATTTCTTAACATGGAAGGATGTGCGTGATAATTTCTAGCAATTGAGGTCTGATGAGAAAGTATGTTTCAGCTAGTGGTAAGGGATTATCTTCAACTGAGACAGGTGTGTAACAGTCTATGAAGATAACAGTCAGTTTGTGATGACAGCAATTCACGTCAATGTTACGTCCCAAATCGGAGCCATAAGAAGAAAAAAGAATAAAAAAAAGCTTAAACTTGAGAAAATCACCGACCAATCACAGCAGACTTAACGTGTACAAATACGATTCACAGATAAATGGCTTAACTTTCTAAGAAACGGTCAGCCAGTCACAAGCAGTGAAGAATAACCTTCAGCAAGGAAACAACCAATCAGAAGACGTCACTTCTCTCCCAACAATAATGTACATAAAAATCTATAAATATCTCTCAATAAACGATCTGTCTTATGTCGTTCGTTGCAATTCGAGTGCTATCCCCCCTTTATTTTCCATACATATAGTTAGGTTATCCTCTCAAAGAATTAATTTAAAAAGGTTGCTTACCTCATCTTGATAATCGACCAATGGACGTGTGTGTTTGTGTGTTTCACCGCTACGTGAATCAGTAGTATGGGGGACAACAGTAGACAGTCGTTGAGCAGAACAGTCTATTTTCGCCACCTTTGTCTCATTGACACTTCGATGATGATTGTCAATTTGCCTGCAGGGATTGTTACTACTTGATAAAGAAGAACGACTACTATCAGTGGTGGAGTGCTGGTTGTTGTAGTGGTGGTTTTGATGTTTAGTTTCACCAAATGATGATGTGACAGTTGACTGTAATGGCGTCGGTCGTTCACTCCATAACTCTGGTTGATTCTCCTTTCCATAAAGTAACTAAGAGAAAAAACGATTATTACAATGAAAAAAGACATACGAGAAATAAAGTTGGCTATGCAAGTGAAAATAAAAGGAAAGGGGAGAGAGTGTTGGTGTGGTTTACAGGGATTTGATTTGATTGGCTACAAGATTGCATCATGATGAACTGACATCGCCTAGAGGACCTTCCTCGACGGGCATCGGGTCACAAGCTGGAAAAGCCAAAAGTGGTGGTTAAACCAAAACATGGCTTCTTCAGTCAATGAAATTCACAAAAGTTCGTTTATGCTAACCACCTAGGAAGACGTAGACTGCGAGGTTGCGGTCCTTAGTATAGCAAACACTAACGAAGTCTGGAGAAAATTGGTGATATGGCTTAAAATCGTTCTTAATGGCGCGGGCAAATGCATCCACTCCTTTTGACTTACAATGTCCAATAAAATTCTATGGTTCTTCAATATTACCTTTCTGTTTGCTTCATAACTCTACTCGTACTCATACAGCCAGGTGAGGGCTTATGGCGAGCTGTCATCTGAACTGGTGACGACCAGTGGTGTCCGTCAAGGACGTCCATTATCCCTATTTCTATTCAACTTCATCATAGATGTGTTAATGGACTTAACCCTAAGTGACTTCAGCGACTCGGGGATTGACTTGTTACCAGGGAATGATCTCGTTGACTTAGAATATGCAGACGATATAGTCCTCTTAGGCGGGGACTCTGACAAAATGCAGAGTCTTCTAAACACCTTGAGCAGTAGCAATCTACGAATGTTTGGCATGCGATTCGCTCCCGCCAAATACAAGATGACGTTAAAAGACTGGACTACATCGACGCCTAGTTTAAAAATAGGAAGTGAAGTGGTAGAGCACGTTGACCGCTTCACTTATTTGGGAAGTACGATCAGCCAGTGCCAACCGGTTGATCTCTGACGAAATCTCAGAACGGATACAGGGGGCTCGTTTCGCATTTGCCAGTTTACGCCGTCTCTGGCTTAGTAGACGAGATGTTCGACTATCGACCAAAGGGCGGGTGTACTGCTCATCAGTCCGCTCCGTCCTCCTTTATGGCTGTGAGTGGGACTTGGCCACTGAGAGTGGGAGACATGAAAAGATTAGCTGTCGTCTTTGATCATAGGTGCCTGCGCTCTATCTCCCGTGTAAAGTGGCATAATAAGGTGAGCAACATTGAGGTTAGGCATCAGTCGAGTTCTAGGTAAACAGGGGAAATCAATCGACGAAGTCGTGAAGTTACAAAGACTGAGATGGTTAGGACATGTGTTACGTATGCCAAGCCATCGCCTCCCTCGACGAGCTATGTTAGCGGATATAGGGTCAGGCTGGAAAAAAGCTAGCGGCGGTCAAACAAAAACTTGTCACCAGTCAATGAAATCCACAACAGTTGGTCTAAGCCACGTAGGAAAGTGTAGACTTCCAGGCTGGGGTCCTCGGGACGGTAAAAATCTATGGTTGGAAACAATTGGTGACATGGCTAGCTCAAAATCGTTCTCAGTGGCTAGCGCAGATACATCTACTCCTTGTGACTTATGATCTCCAATGAAACTGTTTTGTTCTTCGTTATTACTCTTTTGTTTCACACCTCTGTTAACTGTCTCTATTATGCTTTTCTTGTACTTTCTTCTCTTGCTTCGCGTGCTAAACGGAGTGTGGCGACTTTAACTGGCGCACATTTGTGCAAAGTTCTATGTCGAAAACAGACAGACAGACAGTTTGCCGCATATCTCTCGTTGCTGTCTCTGTTTTGCATTTTTTCTACTTTCTTCTCTTGCTTTGTGTGTTGAGTGAAGGATTGCGACTCAAACTGCTGCACATCGATGCAAAGTTCTATGTTGAAACCAGCAGGGAGTACTGGACAGCCAGTTGTTTCATCCTAGTTCGCAACCGACTTTTCGCTAGTACGCATCCACTTGGTTAGGGGTTTATGATATGTACCCACATGATGTGTGTTTTGTTTTTGACAGTCTATTATATTTTGCTATGTGTATATGGATCGATATTCCATTATAACTGACAATATGCTTTTATCTGTCTACTAACTAAATAAACAATGTATGACCTTATTATCACATGACATTACAACCAATCATTGTAAGACGTTATCTTATTGGTTCATGTGTATTAGCCATTTTCATATATACTCTTGCTTTATAATTCTTGTTCCCACGTTTCGTACACTACGTACCATTTCACTCACACTCTTGTGTGACATTTATTTTCCTTGTCTGGTATCATCGTAAACCTGGTGGTCTTCTGATTTCCCTCCTTTTGCGTCAGGACTATTAACTACTCGACGAGTACACAACAGTTTAGACCCAGGACCCTCTGATCGCAAGGCGAGTGAGAACTGGTAAACCATTAAGTCTTAATGGTACCCGATCCAATGGCCAACCTATGAATTTCAACTTCTGCCAATTTACAATATGTAGCGGCGGCTGGCTAGCAGATGTCATCGGCGGCGAATGTTTTGTGCTCACTTAAACAATAGAAACTTCAAGTGTCATTATAATATTAGCAGAAAATACGTTTACAATTAGTAATATACTGTGAGTTGCATTTATAAGTTGGCAGATTCAACTTAACAGCTAAATCAATGATCCCTTTCCAGAATTTGAGGCGACTATCCCAATGATATATGTCTGATTTCCCACAAACTGGAAGATATGCAAGTCAAAAGCAACACGTTGGCAAAAGAACCATCAAAGATAGGAAGGACTTCAGGGGAACATAGAGGAAAAAGAAGTAGGTGATGAAGATTCCTGGCCAACAGCAACAGCAACAACAACAGATGATAATCAGCCAGCATAAATGGGAGAAATATAAAAGCAGCAACCTCCTTCATCTACCTACCTACCTAGCTGGGAAGCATTGTCTCAATTGCAGGTGGACGGAACTAAAGAAGGATACCGAAGTGAGGATCGGGAAAGTAAGGCAAGATTTCATTTCTCTCAAGTCTGTGTGGGGGAAATCAACATCAGTTAGCATGAAAATGAAAATAAGACCTGGATTTTCAACTCCAATGCGAAGTCTGTGCTACTCACAACACGGATCAGAGACTTGGCACCGTGTCACGAAGGCCACTCCGAATAAACTACAGACTTTCACTAACAACTGTCTTCGCTTAATACTACTGAAGATCAGATGGCCAGCCAGAAAAGGTCAAAAACAGAGAGGGATCTCTGAACCAACCCACAGGGAACCAATTGTGCAACAAATATGCATGCAGGAAGAAATGGAGGTGGGTTGGCCATACTCTGAGAAAATAAACCATCATCAAGCAACATCACACGCCAGGCCATCGGTCAAGTGGAACCCGAACGCGAAGCGGCGAGTTGGCGGTTAGCGCGAGGGTGGAGCGACATAGAGGAGGTGATGTGATGAGGAGATGAAAGCATGTGGACAGACGTGGAGTCAGATGAAAACGACGAGAAAGTTTAAAATTCAAGTCAATAAAAATATGATCAATACAGATGTAAATCGACTACCAGTCAGTCACGAAGATAGTTGCTGCCAGGAGACGCAATTCTATCATTCATGGAGAATATTAAATCAGTTCATTTTATATGCTAAAACATGCGCTGAAAGGGGATGTTGTCCAGAAGTAGAGAGAGAGAGGGGGGTCAAAGACGTAACCGCTGCAACTAAACCATCAACCAGCTCAGAGAGAGAACACAACTAATTGCTCAATCATCTACGTGAGCTACAAATATCTATTACTAAGTTAGTATCCACATCATCATATAGCTGAGTAGACACTGATGTCCACTGAGTAAATCTCACACATTCTAGCCTTATTTCTCCTCCTTGGGAATGCTATACATACATTACATTTTTTTTTAAAAAGGAGAGAAATATATCGAATTACTCAAAACAGTGATGTTAAGATGGATGGATTACCTGTCGAACAGTAGAACTGGATAAAGATACAGACACAGGTACTGTAGACGAAGTAGTAGTAGTAACGGAAGCAGCAATAGTTGAATTCGCGGTAAAAGCACTTGGTAATGGTATTGTTGAAATATTTGAGCTGCTTTTGTTGCAGTTATTATTATTATTACAATTCATTGAATCTTGATAACTTTTAGACTTTGATGAATAGGATGGTGAATTGACAAGACTGTTAGCTGTTGTTGCTGTTGTTGATGTTGTTATTGTTGATGATGATGTTGACGGTGTTAACGAAACAGCCGGTGAAGCTGAAATATACAAAGACACGAAAATAAATAATTGAAGAAACGGATTAATATAATAGTTGAAGGCAATCGGCGGATACCGGGGGCTCTGAACCTAAGTTTCGTGCTTGTTAGCACTCATCAGTCATAGAAAGGCGTATCTGCAAATACCTTCAAGAAATTCATTCATGCCCCATTATGAGATTCGAATCGGTGTCACCCAATGCTGCCTAAAGTCAGAGACGTTACCAATGAGTAACTATTTGGGTTATTTAACTGGTCTCCTGTAGGATTATACTGGAAACTCTGATTGGATACTCATTAACTGGTGTCATCTTGGGGTGCGTGCTACTGATAAGATTTGTCAATAGTATATAAACATAAATGTTCATCTGTCAGCATAAAAGCATCATATAACAGATAGATACAGAGTTGTGGAGAGATACACGTAAAACGTGAAAGGAACACAATATGGAGGAAGGTCAGAAGTAGCACAACAACACGGAAGATTGCTGCAAATGGTGCAGTGTTGAAGATAAGGTGTACATAATTCCATATTCCACACAAACATTCCTCTATCCGAAGCCTCTCGTGTTCTATCGTTACAATGTGTCTAGTCGTCTGTTCGGTGCAAAGCTGACTGACAGAATTCGGTCTGAACACTGAACAAAGGACTAGACACACGACACCAGTTGATTAGTGCCCAACCAACGTATTACTGTTTAACATCAACAGATTATAGGTTCAAATAACCATGTGCAAGTGACAATACGTATAAGTAGGACGACTAAACTTAATGAATATCAGAATTTATGGCCACCACACACGGCGTCGATGTTATAGCGACAGAATGCTCACCAACCACACACACACACACACAACTGCCGACTGACAAGGCACTCTTTTACCTCGCTAAGCCAGTAATAAGTTTAGTAAAGAGAGAAGGTTGGGCCAGGAGGTGAGGCTAGTAACCCCATCCCGTAAAGAAAAATAAACACTACTGTTTGCAAAACTTCTAGGCTCCAACTTGAAGCCCCTTGTTCCACTGGGAACGTAAAGGAATAAAATAAAATAACACAACAAAGTAGATCGAACATATTCTAAGCGAATTGCGATGGTCTCTGTTCTTTGGAATATCTGGTACCTAAAAGCTTCCGGCAATTTATTGGGTACCCAACGACAGATGATAGAAAAAGATTCTTCAATGCCGACCTAATGCCCCTGTTTGGACTAATATCAAACTGTCAATGGTTTTTATTGAACTTTTATTTTTTTTTAAAACACACTGTAGAGTGCTGACGAGCATTAAAACTAAGTTCCTAGGGAAAAGGTCAATTTGAGTAGCTCCTCCTCCTTCACAGAAGCAGTTGAAGTGATAGAAACAATAAGACTGGGCCAGCTCAGGTACTTCCGTCTTTCAGTTGAGGAGTTACCGGCTGTAGTCCTCTAGGATTAAAAATTCTCTGAATTGTTTGTTGCTTGTTATCTCACCCGGTACACCACCTTTGATCAATTCAAGGAGACAGCTATCTCACATAATCAAGTAATACGTGATGCGTTAATACGGGTAATGGAGTAAGTAATGAGTACGCGAAGCTCTCCATTAAGGATGCAGACTGGCAGAGAAATCCATCCAGGATAATGCGCATTTCATTCTATTTGGGACTCGTCAGCCGACTGCATGTACCCATATTCCCCAGTGAGTCACTTCTGATGGTGTTCCCACGGAGGCTAGAACCTAGTGAATTCAAAATAATGCCTGACACCCATTGTACAAGAATGAAGTAGCTGTCGTGGGCAATAAAATGGATGACGCTTTGGTGTTTGAGACAATCGGTACTACTTGGCTTCGAGTCGCAACGGGAACACTATCACTCACTGGGGAATCCACGTACACCCAGTTGGTGACGAGTTCAAAATGGAACGAAACGTGTATTCAAGATCTGTCTGTCTGTCTGTTTTCGACATAGAACTTTGCACAAATGTGCGCCAGTTAAAGTCGCCACACTCCGTGTAGCACGCGAAGCAAGAGAAGAAAGTACAAGAAAAGCATAATAGAAACAGTGAGCAGAGGTGTGAGACAAAGGAGTAATAAAGAAATACAAAACAGTTTCATTGAAGATCATAAGTCACAGGGAGTGGATGCATCTGCGCTAGCCACTGAGAACGATTTTGAGCTAGCCATGTCACCAATTGTTTCCAACCATAGATTTTTACCGTCCCGAGGACCCAAACCAGGAAGCTAGTCTACACCTTCCTACGTTGCTGGCTTAGACCAACTGATGTGGATTTCATTGACTGGTGAGGCCAAGTTTTTGTTTGACCGCCGCTAGCTTTTTTCCAGCCTGACCGTATATCCGCTAACATTGCTCACTGTCGAGGGAGGCGATGGCTTGGCATACGTAACACATGTCCTAACCATCTCAGTCTTTGTAACTTCACGACTTCGTCGATTGATTTCCCCTCCTTACCTAGAACTCGACTGATGCCTAACTTCAATGTCGCTCACCTTATTATGCCACTTTACACGGGAGATAGAGCGCAGGCACCTATGATCAAAGACAGGTATTCAGGATGGGTCCCATAATGCTAGTCACCATCATCCACAAAATTACTTCAAGTTAATCCCCAGAAACCTCTGCACTAGGAGCCGATGTGTCAACAGAAGTCGAACATTTCGGTCCAATCAATAATCAAAGGGGAAAAACAAAAGAAATTGAATTCAAAATTAAAACAGGAACAACGTCGAAGTAAAAAGAGAGAAGGACTGAGAAAACGCAGAAATGACTAAAAGTATATGCAGTGTTGACTGCAACGAGCGCTTTACAACAAATGTGCATGAGTAATCCATAATAGCAATGTAACCTCTAATGTCATTCTGATGTTATTAATTGATGGCGACTAGCAAGTGGAAAGCAGAATGCAGGTTTTATCACTCCTTGGAAGGGATCATTAATATTCATTGATGATATTCTTACACAGACTCGAACCCAGCACCCATTGTTCCAAAAAACTACGAGGATTATTCCCTAAGCTACCACTATTAATGTATGAGAGCCAAAAATAATTCCAACAAACTACATAACTATCGCTGTGCGTCGGTTTAGCAAGGCGGTAGAATGCTCGCCACCCACCACGCATGTGGTCCGGGGTTCGATCCCTGACCGACAAGGCATACATTTACCTCGGTAAGCCAACAATAAGACTGGTTAGGACGAAAGGTTGAACATGAGGCTAGCAACCTCCGTCCCACAAAAATAAACACCATTGCTATCGAAACTTCAAGCCTCCAGCTTGAAGCCCTATGTTCCAGTGGGAACTTGAAGGAATACAAAAAACGTAACTGTCGCTAACAATTTATATTCTTGTTATATTTAATCGCCTAATTTACAAGGATTATTCACAACCGCAAGATGATATCCTTGGTCTACTGGATAACTGTAAACGGTTGTGAAAAAAGATAAGGTGCGGATTTCGAGTTCCAGTAGGGAAACTACCATTCATTGGATACATATACAACTACCTTTTACACTATGCTGAGGGTCTGTGAGTAAAGTCGTATTGCTGGGGAACACGGATGCAATAGAAGTAGAGTGTCCCCCCCCCTTACTCAGATGACCAGCATGCCAGCTGTGTTGCCCGTTCACTCTGGAGAGACAGAGAGGATTAGAAAAGGTCGGTCACCCAAAAATTGTACATCCCGACTTACCTTACAGTTGTGTTTAGCCAGCAGTAAGTTACCAAACCTAAAAGTTAGTTCAAGACGGGAAGAATGTAACCGGTGTCAAACAGTTGTCCCCTGGGCTCTGCGGTCACACATCACTAACTCTCTTTCTGTTTCAGGTATCCCAAGAGAAAAATAATCATCTCGAGAGCAGGGAATGATGGCTAATGGAAAATCGTGGAGCCCACGTGCTGGACCCACATGTGTTAATTCGATCCAAGGGTGGTGGTGGTGGGGGAACAATCAATGAACAAGAAGGAAAATAACACACACACACAGAAAGGCACAAATAAATGAATAAACTCACGTATAATCTTAAATTTATTCAATGAAATTTTAGGATTGAAAACAATTTTTGGTACGCTTGACGAGGATGACGCCGACGACAGAGATGAAGACCACGACGGTGTAGAGGGAAGATTGACATTAGAATTCGAAAGTGCATTAGTTGTTTGAATACGTGACAGCGACGCTAAATTCGCCGATGTAATAGTAGTAGTAGTAGTAGTAGGTGCTGTTATCAATGTCATAGAGGGTACTAATGATGATGTGGAGGTGGTTGGCAGTGGTGGGCGAGTTGTCAGAGTGGTGGTGGTTGTGGTGGTAGTCGTAGGAGAACTAAAGGTCTTAATAACAATCGATTTTTGTTTCTGTTGTTGTTGTATTTGCGATAATAAGGTATTATTTGAGGATAACTTTTGACTTGATGATGTCGTTGTTGTTGTGGAGGTGGTTGTCGATGGCGCTGGCGTTGTTGTCATCCCATTAGGTGTACTGTTTGCCGGATTGCGAATCTAAAAGAAGAAAAAAGGTGTTAACGGTGAAATTCGCAACATGATAAGAAAAAACAATGACAATCAAGAAAGCAAGCATAACTGTAGGATGATATATACTACTGATTAGTTTACATGTGTATATTAGTAGTATATAACCACGTGTGGATAACTATTTCATTTTCCAACGGTTGAATGGTCAGATACACGCAGTAAATGAGTGAATGACAAGTAAAAACTGGATCCCTTTGTGCTGTGTGCCAGTGATAAGAATTATCCATGAGATCGATGTATACAACCACCTCATCTGTCAATTCCAGCTACGGCAGTAGGTGACTTGTGTGGTCTATAGCTGCGATGGATCCGTTTCCATAGACATCCAATAGCAATCAGTACATTTTGAGAATGGTGGAACACGCCACACGATGGGTAGACGCCATTGTGATCCATGATCAACGCGTGAGAACCGTGACTTACGCAGCAGTCTGACAAAGTGTTGCAGGCCACGGTGTATGAAAGAAGATATTCACAGATCAGGGTCCTTGTTTTGAAAGTGAAGAGTTCACTTTTTGTTTGCAACAGCTAGGTATCAAGAAGATCAGAACAACAATTCATCGTTCACAAACCAATGGTCTGAGAGAGAGAGAAACAACACTGAAAAAGTAGTTGGCTTCCTCGAAGGAAGTTACCTGGATGACAGAGCTTGTTCCATTAATTCTACTAGCAGGTCGTGTGTTCATCGAATGACATCGATCGAGTGGAATCCCAGTGGGAAGCGACAAGTAGGTAGTCAATGGTAGGGTGACATGAAGAAGATTTTGTGGCGAGGAGGAAGGAGACAAGCGATTATGTGTAGTCGTGGGGTGAGCTGAAGAGGACAGCAGAGAATAGAAGAAAGTAGAGATGTGTTGTTGAAGGCGTATGTTTCACTAGGAACCCAAGGGAGTAATAATAATAATAATGCCACCCAAATGGTGTAGAATTCACTGACTCCTAAATATCAATCATCAAAAACGTTCTAAAAATCCTCAATAATCTTCACATTTTCTCTAGGTCAATTTTTTCCATAAAATGATTGCGATAAACTGAAATATGCAGTCACTGTTGACGCACAGACTCCTGATTGATTGACTGACTGACTGATTGGTTAAAAGTTTGAACACAGAAGTGTAGTAGTGCAAGTTACCATGATACTGGTACGGATACTTTCAATGACGCCAAGACTACAGGTGAAGTTATTTTGGCATTTGAAACAATGGTAGGAATGTTAAATAGTCCAAAATAGGACGAAATGTACACCGCGTGAATTTCATTGCTAGTCACCATTAATTAAAAAAATAATCTTAATTTGATTTCGAAATTTTTTCACATCACCGAAAGTATCGATTGACTCATGAAGACAAGACCATACTTGTCCTTAACTTGCAGACTGCTTCTTGGCAAGTCTAGACAATAGTATATTACGACCCAACATCGATAGTTTTCATAAGTACCAAAGATACATGGGTGACACTTTTATCATATGTGACGAAAATACTAATATCGAAGTGACAACTAAGGAGTTCAACATCTGCCATCATGCCATCTAGTTCACGTTGGAATCAGAGATGTCTCTGTCTGTCTGTCTGTTTTCGACATAGAACTTTGCACCGATGTGCAGCAGTTCAAGTCGCCACACTCCGTGTAGCACGCGAAGCAAGATAAGAAAGTACAAGAAAAGCATAATAGAAACAGTGAGCAGAGGTGTGAGACAAAGGAGTAACAACGAAGAACAAAACAGTTTCATTGGAGATCATAAGTCACAAGGAGTGGATGCATCTGCGCTAGCCACTGAGAACGATTTTGACCCATGTCACCAATTGTTTCCAACCATAGATTTTTACCGTCATGAGGACCCCAACCAGTCAGGAAGCCTACACCTTCCTACGTTGCTGGCTTAGACCAACTGTTGTGGATTTCATTGACTGGTAAAGCCATGTTTTTGTTTGACCACCGCTAACTTTTTTCCAGCCTGACCCTATATCCGCTAACATTGGTCGTCGAGGGAGGCGATGAAACAGAGATGAACTCGGAAATACATTTTTTGGATGCTTTGTTAAAAAGGAGATCTGACGTTCCTCTTCAAAGATCTATCTACAGGAAACTAACATGAAATGGTAAATACACAAACTTTCATAGTTGGGTCCCTTTGAGAAGAAAGAGAAACTTGATCCACTCCCTATCCTTAAGAATAAGAAGGATATGCACTAATGATACAGCTGATGATGAACTGGAGCGACTCAGACACGTTCCCATGAAAAATGGATATCCTCCGAGATTCATCGAGAAAAACATGAGGGTTAAGCAAAGAAGCCTCAAGGAACTCAGACACTGCCGAAGACACTTCTATTAATGAACTTTGAATCACCTTTAAGGTGATGCCGCTGCCGAAATCCTGAAGAACCACTTATCCAGATCACTGAGAAAAGCCTTCTTTGCGGCTGAGCTACGGATCAATTTCTACAGTCGACAAATGATCAATGAATGTGTGAAGGATAAACTGCCACTTTGAGCCACTTCAATTTGTGTTTATAAATTCACTTGTTCCTTTGGAGCTAGTTATATTGAGCACACAAAGTGCACACTTCCCAAACCTAACTCCGAACATTATTCGGTATGGTTAGCAAAAGGACAATACAAGACAGTTAATAACTAAATTCTCGAGCACCCTGTGAACTTAAGCCATAGAGTTTCAGCAGAGTTATCTGCAACGTGAGACTAAATAGTTCAAGGAGTGTCGGGTATCGGCATTTGTGTAGGATAGAGGGGTTGGTGATTCATTAATACGATTTCGAACTCTGTTTACAGAAAAAGTCTGTCACTTGTCATATTCTACCATGGTCTTAACCTTTTCATTGGTCGTTCCCTACAATTTTTTTCAATTTTTAATGATTAGTTTACTTTTATTTTAATAATCACTCTCACATGTTCGTTTTTTAACATTTTCCCACTCTTTTCACACTTGTTAAATGGACACTCAACTACCACCTTTCTTTTCACGACTCATTGACAATTTTAACCTCATCAAATGTCTAACCTTTTCTTCTTCTATGCTGTTGAGTACTGTCTCTGTCTCTGTCTAGATTCAACATAGAACTTGCCACCGAAATGCACCAGTTCGAGTTGCCACGTTCCAAACAGCACGCAAAGGTAGACAAGAAGATGAGTGAACAGAATCAATACAGTCTGACAAGTATAAGAGCAAAATAGAATGGGTAACGGTACAAAGAAATATGAAAGATTACAGAGACTGAATACATCTGAGCTGGCCATTGACAACGATTTTGAGCCATATCACCTATTGTCTCCAGCCACTGATTGATTCCTAGAGTCAGTCCCGAGGGCCCCAACCCGGAGGAAGTCTGCATCTCCTACCTACCTGACTGACTCAGTTTAACTGTCAAGGATTTCATGGATTGATGAGGCCATGTTTTTGTTTGGCCACCACTGGCTCTTTTCCAACCTGCACCACCTATATCAGCTAGTAATGCCCGTCTGGTGGGGGAGGTGTTGGTTAGGCATGCGCATCACCTGACCTAGCCATCTCAATCTATGTAACTTTATAGCCTCGTCGATTGATTTTCCCTGTTTGCCCAATACTCTACGCCTAACGTCAACATTACTTACCTTATTAAACCACCTAACGTGAGACAGAGATCGTAGACATCTGTGATCGAAAGCAGTCAACCTTTTCATGTCTTCAACGCGTATTGGCCATGTTTCAGAGCCATAGAGAAGGATGGAGCGAAGAGCTGAGCAGTACACACGTCCCTTGGTTGATAACCGGATGTCACGCCTACGCCAGAGATGGTGTAAGTCAGCGAAAGCAGCTCGAGCTTTTCGGATTCGTGCTGAGATTTCATCGCCAATCAGTCCGTTGGCTCTGATACAACTTCCCAAATAGGTGAAGTGGTCAACATGTTCTATCACTTCACTCCCTATCATTAAGCTAGGAGTTGACGTAGTCCAGTCCTGTAGCAGCACCTTACATTTTACAGGGGCGAATCTCATGCCAAACATACGAAGATTGCTGCTCAAGGTGTTCAGAAGACTCTGCTGGATTTTGTCAGCATCCTCCCCTAACAGGACTATGTCATCTGCTGTTGAGTATTACGTAATTTATAACTTTTATTTATATTTTTGAAGTTACTTCTGAGTAATTATATCAGTTATGTCACATACACACACACCTTCTATTACTCAATAATGGACTACTGTACATTTTTGGTAAATATAAATACGACTATTTAGCCTCTGAAGATGGTTTCGTTGATAAAGAAGAGGAGATTTTCTCCGCTGAATTTGTCTTTTATTTTTCACTCTCTTGAACATTGCCCAAATTTCTTTGCTCTAGAGTTGCGTGTGTGCGTCGGTGGCACAGTGGTAGAGGGCTCGCCAACCACGCAGGTGGTCCGACAAGGCACTTTCATTTACCTCGCTAAGCCAGTAAGTAAGATTGATAAAGAGAGAAGGTTGGGCCAGGTAAGGCTAGCGACTCCTTCCTGTAAAGGTAATCACCACTGCTACAGCAACTTACAATCTCTAGTTTGAAGGTGCCCTATGTTCCCCTGGGAACGTGAAGGAATAAAAAAGAAAAGTTGCGTGTACACGTTAAGCATTTTTGAGAAACACTCAAAAGGCTGCAATGCGCCCTTGACCTTGGCGGCCTGTTCGAATTTTTGGGCCTGCTACTATAATATCTACATTTTGCATCCAGTCCTCTATTTACCAACATTCATTTATCACCTAAATATGAATTCTAACAGAATCATTTACTCTCGTAACTTTATTAATCATTTACGACCAAATGACTTTCATATTCCAAAGAAACCAAGAGGAAACATCGTAGTGGTTGGCAGAGAGCTCTCAAACGTACACCAATACACTTAACTACGGTCCCCGTCATAATGAACACAAACTGTCGCTCTCTGCCAAACAAGATAATGTACCTACAATCCTGATGTCAACTGATACGTATCATAACACCGCCATAATCACATTACAAGAAACGTGGTTGCATGAACTGTATGATGACAACCTTATCTCACTAAAGGACTTTATTTTATTTCGTCAAGACCGTCAATGTTGTAATAAGAAAAATGGTGGTGGCGTTGCAACTTTTATTCACTCCAAATGGTCTGTCTCAAATAACGTCTGCTTCACCTTCTCAAATGACTTCATTGACTGTATTACTGTCAAATGTCGCCCCAAACATCTCCCCAAATATAAACAATTCTATATTACAAACATGTACATTTCTCCTAGTTGCTCTCCATCTGATCTATCTAATTTTGCTGATGAATTCACCATGTTTGCTGCTGCCAACTTCGACAACTCTCTATCCGTTATTACTGGAGACTTCAACACATCAGATTGCTCCTTTCTTGAAGCTCTTGGTCACACAAACATAGTCAAATTTCCCACTCGACTTGACAAAACACTCGACTTAGTTTTTACTAATGACGAAGGAGTATATGAAACACGTAGACGTTCACCGATACATAACTCCGATCACTGCATTGTCCGCGTTTTGCCAAAAATATACAGCAAAACACATATTAAAATCTTCTCACACCTGTCTACGAAGCACAACAAAGAAGCTACACATCTGACAACTTACTCAATCTAAGATGCATGTTAAAAGATACCAACTGGGATCTATTCTATGAAAGTACATTAGATGACTCAATCACCAATATAATGGATTATCTTAAGTTCTGCCTCGACATATGCTGTCCCAAACAAACACTGTTCAAACGCCTCGACCGCTTCTCGTCTCCCCATCTCAAACAACTTCGCAGGCAAAAAGAAATGTTATATAAATGCAAAGACAAGTTAGGACTTAAAAAGATTAATGCTCAAATCAAATCTGAAATCAAAAATCTTAATGCTATCTATAACCAAACACTTTTATCATGCAAATCTCCTAACAGCATGTGGAAATTTTTCAATGAAATTACTGGCAATAGTAAGCGATGTAATGTTTTTCCCTCTTGTGATGTTAATGCTCTTAATCTGTCTTTTATACGCTCTCCTTCTACTATAACCACTTCTAACGTTACTAATCTTGTAGCTGATAACTTCCAGGACTTCAATACTCTCGATGTTTTGAAATGTCTTAAAACTCTTAAGCCCTCACATAGTCTTGGCCCTGATGGCATACCTGCATATGTTCTAAAACAATGTGCAGATGCTTTATGTTCTCCTCTAACTAATATCCTAAATGCTTCTTTCTCCGAAAACGTTGTACCTGTTCCATGGAAAGACATTAAAATAGTCCCTGTCCCTAAACCTGGAAATAGCAAGAACGTAAAGTTCAGACCCATTGCCATCACTTCCCCGTTTCTAAAGCTCATGGAAAAACTAGTACTTCTTAAACTCGAACCCTCCCTTAAAAGCTTCGAAGACCCCAAACAATTTGCCTACAGACAGGGTAGGAGTACTTTAGACGCTGCAGCCGTCTTACACAACAGTATTGTCTCATCATTAGACAAAGGTGCCAAATATGTCCGCTGCACGTTTCTTGACTTCACTTCTGCTTTCGACTCTGTACCTAGAAGTCTCTTGCTAAATAAGCTCTCCATGACACAAACCGAGTCCTGGGTCACTAACTGGTTGCATTCCTACTTTTCAAACAGAATGCAGTACACCGTATACAAAGGCGAATCCTCCTCTGCTGTGCTCACTGAAGCTGGTGTCCCCCAAGGTGCTGTACTCTCCCCACTTCTCTTTTCATTCTTCCTACATGACCTACCGTCTTCAAATGACATTAACTTTGTCAAATATGCTGATGACCTAACTGTATCTTTACCTGTCAAATGTCAAAGTGACTGCTCTAAACTAAATGGCTTCTTATCAGAAATTAGCCAATGGTCCAAGGAAAACGGTCTCACCTTAAACCCCTCCAAATGCCAAACAGTTAATTTCACCTTTAGGCATAAATCTGACCTAAACAAACTGGTTAGCACTCACGAGGTGTGCAACATAGATGGCAGTGAAATAGAAACCAAGTCGGAAATTAAATACCTAGGCGTCACTCTATCTTCTGATCTTTCCTGGTCGTCTCATATCTTGACGATTTCCAAGAAAATATTCCGTCTTACCTTCTACATCAAGAAGTTAAGACATTCTGGTGTAACCCAACCCTTACTCCTACAATTTGTTAACTCCCGTATTCTGCCTATTATTCTCTATTGCTCCCCCTTAGTCTTTCCTGGGCTATTGAAGAAAGACTATACCTTATTACGTAGGATGTTAAAGGTTGTCAGCAGGGTAAGCAGTTTGCCACTTAGCCAGCTTGTTAATATTCTGGTGGACAGGCACATGGACTCATGTGAAAAATGGGCGAAATCCATTTTATCTGACTCACAACACCCTCTACATTCACAACTCTCCCCATGTATCTCTTCAGGGAAAACAAGAAGCCTATATAGGAAACTATATGCCCGCACTAGTAAGTACAAAAACTCATCCATACCCTACCTAGCTCGTGTTCTGTGCGATAAAGAAAGCATTAGGCGGGAAACCTTTAACTTATTAAATAGTCAGTAGAACAATGGATCTCGTCTTTCCAACTCACATCATTTACAGGTACAACGTTTTCTCTCTACCTTTTTTTCTTCTGTATTTATTTTTGTTATGTGCTGTTTTGTTTCTCTCTTCCTTGCAAACTCTACTTAAAACATTCTTGTTCGTTCTTTCACACTCTGTATATCTCGACCATTTTGCTATCGCTTACGCCAGTAAATATGCTAGTAGTATCTACTTTTCTAACACCTTCAAACACTTTTTAAATTTTGGCTTTGCTACCGACATGCTAATATGTTGTTGTCAAAACTGACTGAGATAACCTTAATCTATGTAGAACTATATTTATTGTTAATGTACTAACTGGATGCAATATTGTAGTAAAATGCTGAGAATTCCATTCTGTATCACAAGTACTGATTTGGAATAAAGCTTATCTTATCTTATCTTACCTTGATACATACAATCCAATCATGAAGATTTCCACAGTCAATTCACTCACACAGAACCATTAGTTTAAAAAAAAATGCAAAAGACAGTAGGCAACATGCACCCTGTCATAACACATATAGTCCAAATCGATAAATAAATCAATAATTAATGTAACTTACCATTTCATAGAAAAGTAGATAAGGATACTGACGCGATACATGATCGAGACTGGTTGTTGAGATCTAAAAAGTAGAAATAAAGTGAATAACCGCCGCCTTAATAAAGAAAGCAGAATATAGGAATGTGTTTGACAACTAGCTACAATAATCAAAATCTTTGTTTACTATGATACTAGTGATATTCTAAAATGGTGCAGTTGTGTTTTTTCAAGAATACACACCGACAGAGATGACGAAAACACGCAATACCTATGCCAAGCCGCTGAAATCCTTCGTCGTCAAGCAATGTTAGTTGACATAGGATTAGGTTGAAAAACATGGAATCAGTTGATGAAGTCCCTAACCATTGTTTTTGTGACAGCCACTTAGGTGCGGGCAAAGGGGGAGGTAGGTGAAAAGTACGGCGTTAGGATAATCATTACTCTATGAATAACTGCACTTTTGCTGTAATGATTGTTACGTTGGAAATTCACTTTAGTTTCATACAGACAAAAACTATAATTATGATGTCTGTCTGTCTGTCTGTCTGTTTTTGACATAGAACTTTGCACAAATGTGCGACAGTTCAAGTCGCCACACTCCGTGTAGCACGCGAAGCAAGAGAAGAAAGTACAAGAAAAGCATAATAGAAACAGTGAGCAGAGGTGTGAGACAAAGGAGGAGTAATAAGGAAGAACAGAACAGTTTCATTGGAGATCATAAGTCACAAGGAGTGGATGCATGATAGGATCGCACGTATTTTGGTATTGACTGTTAATCTCGTACATATGGTATATTATCATTTCTCACACACTTTGTTATTGGCTATTAAGATCAATTATTTCAAATGCTGTTAGCTGTCCATATTGTTGTAAAATGTATAAATACCATGGCTTCCTTTGTCGTTGTTGTACTTCAATACACAGTCACAGTCCAGCCTTTGTCTTTTGATATTTGCGTGCTTTACTAAATCGGAAGGTACGACAAGCAGATAGGCAGATTAGTTCAGGCGCAGACAGAGCAAGGTGAAAACATCTTCATTCAATTCCTTACAGTTATAACAAATTGGCCACGGGGTTTTACCTTAGTTCATTGCAGTTATAACAATGCATCTGCGCTAGCCACTGAGAACGATTTTGAGCTAGCCATGTCACCAATTGTTTCCAACCATAGATTTTTACCGTCCCGAGGACGCCAGCCTGGAAGTCTACACTTTCCTACGTGGCTTAGACCAACTGTTGTGGATTTCATTGACTGATGCCGAGTTTTTGTTTGACCGCCGCTAGCTTTTTTCCAGCCTGACCCTATATCTGCTAACATTGCTCATTGTCGAGGGAGGCGATGGCTTGGCATACGTAACACATGTCCTAACCATCTCAGTCTTTGTAGCTTCACGACTTCGTCGATTGATTTCCCCTGTTTACCTAGAACTCGACTGATGCCTAACCTGAATGTTGCTCACCTTATTATGCCACTTTACACGGGAAATAGATCGCAGGCACCTATGATCAAAGACAGCCAGCTAGTCTTTTCATGTCTTCCACTCTCAGTGGCCAGGTCTCACTCACAGCCATAAAGGAGGACGGAGAGGACTGATGAGCAGTACACCCGCCCTTTGGTCGATAGTCGAACATCCCGTCTACTCCAGAGTCGGCATAAACTGGCAAATGCGAAACGAGCCCCTTGTATTCGTGCTGAGATTTCGTCAGAGATCAACCGGTTGGCACTGGCTGATCGTACTTCCCAAATAAGTGAAGCGGTCAACGTGCTCTACCACTTCACTTCTTATTTTTAAACTAGGCGTCAATGTAGTCCAGTCCTGTAACATCATCTTGCATTTGGCGGGAGCGAATCGCATGCCAAACATTCGTAGATTGCTACTGCTCAAGGTGTTTATGATGACCAAATGAATGAGCAACTGTATACAGATTCCGATTGGATATTAGTTAGTAATTAATGTAATGTGTCTATTCCTTTGTTTAGCGGAGACCGAATTCTCTCCGGTGAGGTTTATACAGTCAAGTGTGTGGGAATGGATATCCCACAGATGATATGGATTAGTGGTCACGCTAAATGCATCACGAATTGGTAGAAATTTGAATTCATGGACTTGCCTTTGAGGAGTCGGGTGATCCCAGTGGCTGAATAGTAATACGAACCAGCTTGCCTTGTAACCGGAAGGTTCTGGATTCAAACCCACTGTGGTGGGTGTGTACTGGTGATGATTCCCAAACTAGGATGAAACAACTGTCTGTCCAGTACTCCAGGGCTGGTTTTCAATGGTTCTCTAACTGATAACAACCTGTGATCAACTCGTAAAAGCGAATTCTATCGGTCATTCAAGTTTGAAATGTGGTCCACTACCATGTTAAATGGCTCGCCATCATGCTTAATTGACGAATGCCACCAACTAATTAATGTCCAATACAGGAGGTCAATTACGAGTCCCAATAGTTTCTCATTGGTAACGTCTCTTATTGCAGACAGCACTGGGCGACGCGGGTTCGAGTCTCAGAATGGGGACATGAATTCTTTTAAAGTAGTTGCAGATACGCCTTTCTTTGACTGGTGAGTGCCAACAAGCACGAAACTTGGGTTCAGAGCTCCCTGAACCGGCCGATTACCTCCAACTATCTAATATCAACACAGAGCATAGACTCAATTACACTATCACAGACATAGTATACAATAATTTAGTTATTCGATTTGATTGATTCAACAATTAACAGGGGAAGATATGCATTTGGGATACATGCAGAAAAAGGTGAGATTCGATAGCTTACAGAAAATAATTTGCTCGAATTGGAATCTTAGCGGCAACTTTTACAAATTCACTCCATATGTCATCATTATTTCTTCACGATGAAAGAGAAGAAAGTCAACTGTATATGTATAAATACTCTCGTGTTTCATTTGAATCTCATGTAACTGTTTGTTTAGTATGTGTGAAAGACTGCATACTAAGATCGCTTCACACTATGGTTGGTCTTTCTGACGTATTTATCCCCATTTCTATTCAATTTCATCATAGATGTACTAATGGATTTAACCTTAACTCACTTCATCGACTCTGGGATTCACTTGCTACCAGGAAATAATCTCGTTGACTTAGAATGTGCAGATGATATAGTCCTCCCACGTGGGTGAAAAAGCCGATAAAATGCAGAGTCTTCTGAACACCTTCAACTAAGCAGCAATCTACGAATGTTTGGCATGTGAGTTGCTCCCCTTGTCAAATGTAAGATGATGCTACAGGACTGGACCACACTGACTCCTAGCGAAGAAATAGGGAGTGAAGTGATAGAGCACGTAGACCGCTCCACTTATTTTGGAAGTTGCATTAGCCAGCCCAAAGAGGTTGATCGCCGACAAAATCTCAACACGGATACAGGGGGCTAGTTTCGCATATGCCATTTTACGCCCTCTCTGGTGTCGACTTGACATCCGACTATCGACCAAAGGGCGGGTGTACTGCTCATCAGTCCGCTCCGTCCTCCCTTATGGCTGTGAGATCTGCCCATTGAGAGTGGAAGACATGGAAAGATTAGCTGTTTTCATCATAGGTCCCTGCGTTCTATCTCCCGTGTGAAGTGGTATAATAAGGTGAGCAATATTGAGGTTAGGCATCGGTCGAATGATAGATAAGAAGGGGAAATCAGTCGACAAGGCTGTGAAGCTACATCGACTGAGATGGTTAGGACATGTGTACGAAGGTATGACTAGTCATCGCCTTCCTCGACGGGCAATGTTAGCTGACTGACATAGGACCAGGGTGGAAAAGAGCTAGCAATGGTCAAACCAAGGCATGGCATCAGTCAATGAAATCCCCAACAGTTAGTTTAAGCCAGCCACGTAGGAAGGTGTAGACTTCCAGGTTGGGGTCCCCGAGATGGTAAAACCCAGTGACGGCTGGAGACAATTGGTGATATGGCTAGCTCAAAATCGTTCTCAATGGCTGACGGAGATACATCCACTCCTTGTGACTTATGATTTCCAATGAAACTATACTGTTCTTCGTTATTACTACTTCTTTGTCTCGTACCTCTGTTTACTGTCCCTATTATGCATCTCTTCTACTTTCTTCTCTTGTTTTATGTACTACATGGAGGGAGTGTGGCGACTTGAACTGCCTCATATATGTGCAAAGTTCTATGTCGAAAACAAACAGACAGACGAGCGGAACCTGAATCGGATGCGCCGAGTTGGTTTTTAGTGCGAGGATGGAATGACATGGAGGAGGAGCTCATGCTAAGAGGATAAAGAAGCACATGGGCAGGTGTGTAGCCATGTAACAACGTTGGCAGAGAATCGAACGCAATGCAGACGTGCAACTGAAGCTCTATGTTCCTTTAGGAATTAAACGAAATAATAATAATAAAAGTGGTAAAACTTACAAAGCTATCATTATGCGATAACCATTGACCATGACGTTGTGTAAAAGAGACATAATGTCCACTACGACAACTATAGCCTTCATGATTCACGGTAGCATATAATTTATACAAGACAGGTGATCCTTTCGATTGTGTCATAAATGGACGTAGGTTAAACGATGATGGAAAGTCGACACGCATATCAAGTTTTTGATGACGTGAAAATCTATAAATAAAAGGTAAAAGAGGCGGGGATTAGTAACACACACAATTAACATACTCACACACACATATATCCCAATAAGACTGATTAATTATAGGCTAACCGGCCTCCTTTAGCTTGAGAATTACCTTAGTGACTCACAGAAACAAATAGCGCCTCCCTGTCTCCCAACTCCTCTGAAACTACCTTACTAGGGAATCTATACGTATATGTACATGTATATATACACACACATATACACAGAGAAGAAACTTTCAACAGCGCATTACTGCTATTTGGTAATAAGTAGTGTGCGATTTCGTTCTCATCAGTTGTGATAGACGAATCAATTTCGACAGGTAACTAACTGTCTCCTTCAGGGAAACTTTGAAATACCACTCTGTGTACACCATATCTTATCAACAATGGATGGAGAAATGTAAAACAACAATAGGGGGGTTGGGGGTGAGATAGGGTGAGAAAAGGGTGGGGGGTTAAAGGGTGGAATAGTTTGGGGTGGGGTGAGGGAAAGTTAAATCAATAAAAATTATAGGTATTTTTTTCAACTCACAAATACATACACACACTCACTCACGCACACACACACCAATTTGTATAGCCAATATATTCTCACCAATATATGAGAGATAGCACACGTCATGTGGTGCAGTTGTTGGCTTTCATCATCAGGTGATAATTCGCTTGGTTGTTGGTGGTTGGTGTTGTGTTGGGTTCTCTCAAATTTGAGCAATTTCTGCTTTCATGTCTTCATTATTATTATTAGTAGTAGTAGTATTATCACCACGGATGTTTCAGTTCACATCGTGAATTCAAGGGGGAGGGTTCTTTCTATTGGAAGGTACATAAATATCCTTCCTTATATACACCACAGAAGAGAGAGAGAGAAGTGTTATGAAATATATACACACACATATATGTTGGTAGGAGGATAGTGAGAATATTTTGTCATATGTTTTGCCATTACATATGATGTAATAGTGATACACGCATGCGTCAATGTATATACGGGCGCCTGAGTAGGTGGGTGTGTGTGTGTGTGTGCGCGCATAATTACACAATTCAATTCCCAAGACATTTTCTATAATTCTCTATAAATACGTATAGAAACACGTAATGGAAAATAAAATAAAATTAGTCTTGAGAAATAAGAACAATAAACAAATTTGGAAAAATTATATAATATTAAAGAATATCATTCGATTTTGTAACTTTATTTTATACGTTTATAACGCTGGGGCTCGGCGTTTGATTCCCCGCAATCGACGATGCACTTGTGAGCCTCGCTGACTTTACTAGACGATGATAGTAAGCCTACATATATTGAAGAGAGAAGGTTGGGAGTATGGCTGAATACCACTAGGGAGTATACTGGACGGCTAGTCAGTCATTTCGTCCTAGTTTGAAGTTCCTCATCAGTACTCACCCACTGACAGGGTTAAAACCCATGGCCTTCTGATTATGAGGAGAGATCGGTAGACCCGTCAGTGATGCTCGCCAGTGACTGGCTGCAGGAAGAAATTGTCTGCAGTTCTAATGAGAAGTTATGATCAGTGAATCCGATCAGGAGTGAGAACAAATACCTGCGGCTGATCACATTGACCAGTACCAATCAGTCGGGCTAAAATCCTGAATTGGTAGAAGTTAGGATTCATGAACTGGCCGCAGAGTCAGCACCCAGTGGCTAGACGGTCTATGAGCTCATCTTGTAACCGGAAAGTCGTGGGTTTGAACCTCAGTGTGTGAGTACCGACGTCGGGTGAAACAGCTGTCTAGTACTCCTCAGTCTTCAGCGGTCTCCTAGTTGATATCAATCCATGACCAAACTTTTCTACGCATCAAATACCTATTGTGTGTGGGGGGGAGGGGCTTGTGTTATACTACCCAGTCAGATATGTTACAGTAGACGGGGAGGGAGAAACCCGAAACCAAGAATGATAACTAGGAAGTTGAGTTGTGATTTATAACTAAGTAATGGAATTAAGCTTAGAAGACGGATCGATCGGTGGGGTAGTGCTTAGGATAAGTGGTATTAATCCACGATATCATGTCTTAGACTGCTGTTTTAAGCTAGTTAGTGCCATGCAGGGAAGGTGTGTGTGTAGACTACTAAGAACCAATATCCTGGGTGATGATATGACTCAAAATTGTTGGCATTTGGTGGAAATGCATTCCATTAGAAAAAGAATCTCCTAGCTCTTTTGGCATCGCCACGTTTTCTTTCCTATGCTGATAACCTTCGCACCCCCCCCACCACCCGAATATTTCTGGTGTAGTGTAGTTGGACTTCTGTGCAAGTTAAAATCTTAAAACTCAGTGAGTCGATCAGTCATTAGTTTAAAATAAAGCTTAGTAGTGGAGGCATGCTAACTTCACACAATCAAAATATTTCCATCAACAGGCCATTACCACCACCACCACCACCCTTCTAAATATGATATGACGTAACAACAGGGATGAAGAATGTAGATTTAACGTCTATCTGTGTAACCCAGCACTTCAGTACGCAGAATTCTCATCGTTATCTCATAGAATATTACAGTTCTGCATGCTGACAGACTAATCACGATACCACTGATCATCAGTAGGTCGCCTTCAGCAGCCTATCGGCCATCATTCTGCATCCTCCTATCCACTGGGGGGAGGGGACGTTAGAATTCAACAAGTAGTGACAACACACATGAATGACTCAATAATAGCCGGTGTCAGAGATCATGACGTAACCAAATATGGATTGGAAAAATAAACATCAGGAAAGCTAACAAAAAACAATCAGTACCGATAACTTACCGATTAAATTGAATGATGAGGATTGGTGGAGCACGGTACACTGTAGATCTACGCATAGCTGGACGAAGTTGACGACAATTTTCACACTTGTAGGCATTTTGACCAGATAATTCTTCACTACGAATATAATTGTATAAGCATTGCTGTAAAATAGAAGAAATGGGATAAAAACCACAAAAAAACAAAAAAAAAATTAATTTAAGGACCGGTTAAAATTAAAACAAACTGGGAGATATGAAAGTGAAAAGCAACAAGTCGGCAGAAGAACCATCAAAGATAGGACTTCCTTCAGGTGAACATAAAGAAAACAGGGTAGGATGATGAAGAATAGAAGGAATCTGAATGAAGCAACCTCCTTCACCTAACTACCTACCTGGGAATTATTATTATTATATCCTTTAATTCCTAAAGGAACATAATGCTTCAGCCGCGCGTCTCCATTGCGTTCACTTTCCTGACAACTTTTTCACCCCGTTCCAAGTCTGCCCACATGCTTTCGTCTCCTCTTCACATGATCTCCTCCAAGTCACCCTTGGACGACCAACTCACCGCTTTCCTTTTGGGTTCCATTCGAGCAATGGCTTGTCTAGTGATGTCATTTGATGGTTTGTTTTCTCACGGTATGGCCAATCCATCTCCATTTCTTCCTGTCTATTTGTTGCACAATCGGTTCTTGCTGGGTTGGTTGGTTCGTTTATTGCCAAAGATCCCTGTCGCTGATTTTTCTGGCTGGCCATCTGATCTTGAGCGGAGTATTGAGCGAAGACAACTGTTAATGAAGGTCTGAAGTTTGTTTGAGATGCTCTTTATGACTCGCCAAGTTTCTGATCTGTACGTATAGTAAGTAGAACTGACTTCACACTGGAGTTGAAAATCTGGATCTTATTTTTGATACTAAGTGCTGTTGAACTCAACACAGACTTAAGACCTGCGAAGCATCGTTTCAACTACACACGGACGGATCTGATGAGGATATGAAAACAGTGAGGGTCGAGAAAGTAAGGCAAGCTTTTATTACCCTCAAGTCTGTGTGGAGTAGGTCAACAGCCCTACTCAGCATAAAAGTGAAAATAAGATCCGGATTTTCAACTCCATTGTGAAGTCAATGCTACTTACTATGTGGATCAGAGACTTTTCGCTTCACGAAGAGCATCTCGAACAAACTACAGACCTTCATTAACAACTGTCTTCGCTCACTACTAATCAGCATCGGATGGCCAGCCAGAAAACATCAGAAACACGGATTTCTGTCAATGAGCGAACCAACCCACCAGGAACCAATTGTGCAACAAATATGCAGGAAGAAATGCAGGTGGATTGGCCATACTCTGAGAAAACAAACCACACACCTGGTCCTCGCTCGAGAAGAACCCGAATGGAAAGCGACGAGTTGGTCGTCAGTGCGAGGGTGGAGTGACATGGAGGAGGAGGTGATCTGAAGAGGAGATGAAAGGACATGGGCAGATGTGAAGCCAGGAGAAAACGTTGGCAGAGAACAGAACACAATGGAGACGTGCGGTTGCGTCCCTATGTTCCTCTAGGAACTAAAGGAAACAATAACAATAATAATTAAAATTAAAAAATTCCATATCAACTGGAGCAGCAGTTAGTAGTAGAAGACCTTTTACAAGATGACAGAGAAGCTTTGTAGCTCAGATGGATGATTTTTGGTGCAATTTTCTTCCCTGAGTTGAATGGTTTAGTTGTAGCCTTTCAAAAATCAATTACACTCACAAGTGGAATAATGACGACATTAAATTATGCCTTCTTCTTTTCTGAGTTTACTCAACAACTCCCAAAAAGGTCCAGCAGTGTTTAATTACTTCGTGAATAATGGAATACAAGAATAGAACTACTTGCGCACTGTGGTGGTATAGCATAAATCCAGTACTCCAGTGCTGGTTTCCAATGGTTCTTCAACTGATTTAAATCCATGGTCAAACTTGGAAAATCAAGGAGTATTGGATAGCCGTTTCGTCAAATTTTGGGATTCTTCAGCAATACGCACTTGGCAGTATTCCGGGAACAAGGCGAGTTTGTAGACAATTCAGTCACTGGGACTCGATATAATAGCCCTATGAATTCCAATCGTCAGCTAATATCATCGATGAATAACTGTCCCTCTTACAAGACTTGGTGGATGTCGCCGGTATATATTCCTGTAATTCCATGCTGTTTTGATTTTTATGCCACTTAATTTTTAGTAATTATCACATCGTAATATTTTTAATTTTGTTTTCACTGAAGATAGTTCACCCAGCCCCCCCCCCCCACACACACTTCCGATATTCGTCTCTCTTTCTCTGCCTGTTATTACATTTGACCTGATATATATTCATCCTTGTTATATTTTTTAAGACTACAGCGTGTTGTATTTTATAGTTCCAGTGGAAATTTAACCCGATATTCATGTTGATCATGTACTTTTCTTTTTAACAGACCCTCGTTCACACATTCATTCATACATACATACATACAGATGCGTGTATATCTCATCAATTTGTGGCTTGTAATCACTTAATTATCATACTAGTCATCTTCAAGTATCAGTTTTGTAGGGATTGTTTTTGTTCGACTAGTTGGAGGATTTCATCATGATGAGCTGACATCAGTTAGAAAAGCGACTGACGTTATTCAGGCAGTTACCTGGGGGTTCTAGTGGGAAGTCGTGACCTGTAGAATGAAAGTGAGGCAGTAACTCATCGAAGAAGACATTGCGAAGTGGTCGCGCTATATCGTGAATTGGCAGAAGTTGGAATTGATGGGCTGGCTGGCCGTTGGATCGGTTCCCAATGGTACTTAATGGTCTAAGGACTCAGTGGTCTTGTAACCAGAAGGTTCTAGGTTCAAATCCTGTCGGTGGGCGCGTGCTGATGAAGAGTCAAAAACTAGGACGAAACACGGCTGTCAAATACTACCAAGTTTTACAATGGTTCTCTAACCGATGTCAGCTCATAATGAAATCATCCAATCAATCCTAGTTATTGTCAAAATTTTAACACAGCACACACCCAAACACGTCCCACAAGAAACATACTAGTTATTTGAAATATGGTTTCTTGGTGTAGGGGTATCGATTGATTTCAATGAACAGATTTCAACTCATGAAACTGCAGGCAGGAGTGAAGTAGTTGGTAGACCGTATTGACAAGCGGATCGATCGCTGAAGAAATCTCAGTATGTATACAGAAAGGATGTTTGGCACATATTAGCTAACTTACGTCATCCCTGGCTTAAAAGACGTGACTTCTGGCTGGCTTTCGAACAAAGGACGTGTGCTGCTCTGCAGCAGTTCGCTCTGTCCACCTTTGTGGCTCGCAGTGAGATATGGCCATTGAAAGTGGAAGACATGAAAGGCCTGACTAGCTGTCTTTGAGCACAGGTGTCTGCGTTCTATCTCCCGTGCTAAGTGGGCAATACTGCCGTTAGGCTCCGATCGAGTGCCACGCATGGAGGAAGGAAAATCAATCGATGACGTTTTGAAGCAATCAAATCGACTGAGATGGTTAGGACATGTTTTAACGCATGCCTAAGCATAGCCTTCCTCGACAGCGGGCAATGTTAGCTGACATAAATTGACCAGGTTGGGAAAGAACCAGTGTTGGTCAAACCAAAACATGGCGTCATCAGTCAATGAAATCCACAACAATTAGTTTAAACCATACAGGAAGGTGTAAACTTCCTGGTTGGGGTCCTCGGGACGGTAAAAATCAATGACATGATTTCAAGTGAACATAGAGATGACAGAGGTGATGTACAGACAATCAACCGACAACAACAACAACACGAAGTACTAGTCACTGTCACAAGAGTAGAAATTTCAACGAGGTCACTTCCCACTGCAAGCGCCACACATGCAGATGTCAAGACCAACCAAGATCACTAACCTGAAAATAGTGTGGGAACCTGTTGCACTCACTCACAGAATGAGGAAAAAGATCCGGATTTTCATTACTAATGTCAATTCAGTTCTTCTATACATAGTTCAGAGACATGGTGCACGCGCATCACGAAAAAAAACATTGCTAATTGATGGGCTAATTATGGATGAATGTCCCATTCATCCATAATTGAAGGTCAAACAGTCAGGAAGAAAGCATAAGCTACAAGGAACTCGGAGAACAAACAAATCAAAAAGCTAATGCCCAACAAATATGCAGAAAGAAGTAAACATGGAGATGGGTCGGAGACACGCTGAGAAGAAGACCGCCAAATGATGGCAGGAGGAGATAAGGGGCTAATGGGCAATCGTATAAAAACAAAAAAACGGGACAATTTTAAGAAAAATTAAATATATATCTTACCTGTAAACTACGTGCGCATGTTATATCCATAGACAGATTAAACCATTGTTCATCTCGTGCTGAAACTTTATGACAAGAATGGCATGTCACTGTGAAAGATAAGAACGAAAATTAACTTGGTTAGATTACACACCTCTACCATCACTTCAATCATATTGATAGGCAATATATATATATATATATGACTCATGTGCCACTTGACAACTTACGTCATGTTTAGCGTAGACGTGATATCTGGTAATTGATAAAAGGAAATGTGTGCTGTAGAGAAGCAATTCGCTCCATACTCCTATTCTATGGCTGTGAGATACGTCCATTAAAAAGGTTAGCTGTCTTTGACTATACGCGCCTGTGTTCTATCTCCCATGTTTAGTGGCATAATCTAGTGAGTAATGTTGAGATTAGGTGTAGAGTGCTAAATAAGAAAGTGTCATCGATCGATGGGGTTATGATTGGTTTCCTATCCAGCATTAACGCGTTCCCTAGTGAAATGTTTGTTTTCAAAGGCCCACAAAATATGCGCGAGCAACACATTGATGCATGAGCACCGCGGCACATACATCAAGTTTTATTAGCTAATGATTATCCAGAAAAATGTATCAATTGTTACAGTAAGGATAGACCGACCACATCTTGAAAAGACAGCTTCTGTACCAAAGAAAGCTATCTTTATTAACCTACCTACCAGTCAAGGGGGATCAGATTATGCAGTTGACAGCTAGCTCAAAGACTGTGGTCAGCCATCAAGCGCACACATTCTACGCCGCATCTCTTTCCCTCACATCTCGAATATCTTCGATTCCCGTACCTACGATTAAAGGACGAAATCCTGTGGACTCTATTTCAAACTGTGTCTACAAATTCACCTGCAGTTGCGGTGACATACACATATATAGCTAGAACCCATAGAATGTTCCAATGTCGCCGTGGAAAAGAACATGTTCCAAAATGATTATTAGAATATGTGGAAAATCCCAGTGCAATTATTAATCTGAATAGAAATCCATCAGCGTCATCATCCATTGCAAAGCACTTATTAATGTCAGGTCACAAAATCAATACTATTAATGACTGTTTCACATTTATTTCATCGCATAACTCTAATTCAAGGTTGATTACTGAAGGTGATGGCAGCACTTTGGATTAATCATCACATACAGCCTAAATTGTGTGTACAAAAAACAATAGATTAAATATATTAAACATGTAAAAAGGATGAAATCCTATGGATGAAAAGGTCAACTATCATCAGGTCAACCAAATAATCAATACAACCATATACAATATGTGGACAAACACAAGAGGGTAAGAAAATCTGCCTCAGAAACCACCGAATCATGTGTTTAGTGGTCATCACTAGGATAGACAAAGAGAGACAGGGAAGAAGGGGCGAGAGAGACAACAAGGCTAATAAATAACCTCATGAAGGATTTCAAACGTTCACTTCAATATTGTGAAGTCTACGCTGAAAAAATGTCTTATCTAAAAAGATGACTGGAGAGCTGCCTAATTAAACCCTCAAAATTATGGGTAAATTTTGTTTTGATAAAATCTCACAATGTTATACAGTAATTCACTATAAATTATTTAAATTAATCCCAGCGTTTTAAGAAAATCAAAACAAGATTTTTCTAAACGTTTCGCCGTGTAAGCCACAGCTTCTTCAGCAGATTTTTATTCGGATTATAATTAATCATCAAAATATATAGTCAAAATTTTTCTACATAAATTGAAGTCAGTTTATTTGAAGGTCCTTTGTCCATGGACACTTTTACCAATAGAAATATGTAAGCAGTCCTCACATATATTTATTTGTAATGACTAATGCCAAATTGTTATTGTGTTCACTCTTCTATACTTGATTTGTAAAGATTAGTTTTGTATGTGTGTGTGTATGTTATTTGTAAAACAGTAATGTTTACTGATGACCACGTTTCGAGAACAATTTATTGCTGCTCATAATCATATCAAGGTACTCATTCACACGACTTCCGAACTTCATTGATATAGTTCCATTATTTTTCACTTGATTTGATTGGCAGTAGTATTTTCCATATTTCGGGTAGGAGTGATGAGTCATTTCTATTGCATGTGTTCGGTGTAGACTCGATGAATAAGGATTCAGTAAGCAACCTCTCTCTCTCTCCACCTACCTAGATTATTTTTAGAATTTTAACCTTCTCTACCCCACCCTATTGTGTGGTTTTGTGTTAATGCATGCTGAAAATTCCATACTTGCACCAAAAATACAGTGTGGAATCAAACTGTAATGAAAACAAAAATTGCTGATCTTTTTTCTAAATTATTTATCTTTTCAGGGTCACTCTTACCTTAGCTAAATTCCGATGTTTCGACAATTTGACTGCCCCTAACCTATTAGTCTGACCTATATAGTCGACATCATTCACAGCCATTACAAGGTTTTTGTAAATTATATTATTTTGTCTAATTGGGTCAGCAGACAGTGTCCTTTCACCTACAGAGCTTGTCCCTGAGTGAGTTTGTAGGTTTAAATGTCACCCTAATTCCTGCTTTATTTTGAATCCTACGTAGGGTTTCAGATGTCCCCTCTTTATATGGTATAACTGTGGATGACTTATATTCTCTCTTATTTATGTTATTATTACTAGTTTCACAACTATTTTTATTTTGTTTTTGGCCTTTTTCGATCTTCCTAATGAATTTTATAGGATAGTTATTCAACACCAACGCTTCTTCTATGTTTTAATTCATCATTTAGATCTTTTTTGTGCTACTTAGTGCTACTGCTCGGTTTGTTAAACATGTAACTAAGCCTGCCTTAACAGTTAAAAGATGAGACGAATTAAAGTCTAAATATCTATCAGAATGCATTGGCTTTTATAAACTTTTGTGCGGGTGCCGCGGGTCCCCGTGCAATTGGCCAAATCTCAAAAAAAAAAAAAAAAAAAAAAAAAATAGTGTGTAGTTTACCTTCTATTCGTTTTATTTTACAATCTAACAAATGTGAATTTTATTCCCTCAACTTGTGAGTTTATATGTGTCAAGAAGCTAGAGATAGATAGGTTCTGTTTTTAACACTGTCAAAGTGTCATCCACATATCTCCACCATATTTTCGGAGTAGGGTTAAATGTATTGAGGGCACTATTTTCCCAGCTGTCCATAAATATGTCTGCTACGATAGGGGATATCGGTGATCCAATTGCTACACCTTCAGTTTGTCTATATATTTTGCCTTGGAACTTAAAGATAGTAGATGTGAGGCATAACTGAATCCCTAAAATAATTTCTTCAATGTGTAGCTTCGCTCTATAAGTGAGTTCAGGATCTGCAGTTAATTCTTTTTTAAATGCTTCTAAAGCCATATTGATTGGTATGTTAGTATAAAGACTACGTCGGTGGAGAGAGAGAGGGAGATTGATTACTGAATCCTGGTTCATCCAGTCTATACCCATTCGTGCAATAGGAATGATTCATCACTCCTACTGGAAATATGGAAAATACTACTACCAATAAAATTAAGCGAAAATCAAGTGAAAAATAATGGAACTACATAAATAAATAAAGTTAGGAAGTCATATGGTCATCAACAAACATTACTGTATAACACTGTGAGACTTTGTCAAAACAAAATTTACGCATAAAAGGAATTACACTCTACCCACCAAAGGTGTCAGAGAACACTACAACAGCACTGGCAATTGAGCAAACAATAGAGTTATGAAAAAGCGCGATAGGCTTATTGACAGGAATTCTTTACACAATTTTTCCCATCAAGCGCTTCAAGAAACCAAGAATAGGAGAATATGATTCACAATCAATCACCATCATAATTCTATTTCTTTGGTACTGTGATAACTGTAGACAGTGTGGAACTATATATGTATATACGTATTTTCATATACTTTAGTTAACGAAGATGGAATATTTAGCATGTGAGCACTCTACATTCTCATAATGCATGATATTCCCGTGCTTTATTGATTTGTTGACAAAAATATTCTAATTCTAATTCCATAATAGCATACTACAGAGATTATGAATTCTGATAGAGATCTAGACACTATGGGTTGACTGATTGACTCGTTTCAACATAGAACTTTGTACAGATGTGCACCACAGTTCGAGTTCTCACTCTACCTCGATGTAGCACACAAAACAGGAGAAGAGGATAATCAGAGATTCAACAGAGAGAGAGAGAGATAATGAACAGAAGTGTTATGTTGGGAGAACAATAAAGGCTTTATTGGATATGACATAACACAAAGAGTGATTGCATCTGGACGATTCATTGAAAATGATGATTTTGACGAGACTGTGAAGTTACATCGACTGAGATGGTTAACAGATGTGTTACGAATGCCTGTCATCGCCTTCCTCGACAACGGGCAATGTTATTCGGACATAAGGTCAGGTTGGAAAAGAAAAAGCTAGTTGTGGTTAAATCAAACCATGGCTTCATCAGTCAATGAAATACACAACAGTTAGTTTAAGCCAGCCAGCCACATAGGAAGATGTAGACTTCATGACTGGTTGAGGTTCCCGGAAGGTAAACACCAGTCAAGGCTGGAGACAATCGATGATATGGCTTAAAATCCTCGTTTTCAATAGTGCAGACAGATGCATCCACTCCTTGTGATTTATAATTCCCTATAAAACTATATTGACCTTCGATATTACTATTCCTTTGCATTTCTTCTAATTTCTTCCCTTGCTCTATGTGCTACACGAAGGGAGTGCGGTGACTCGAACTGGTGCACATCTGTGCAAAGCAGTTCTATGTTGAAACCAGTCAGTCGGATGATTTCGAGCCAGGCATATCACCAATAGTTTCCAGCCAATGCTTCTTAAAATTCATAGGATCGCAGCCACGAAGTCTACATCTCTCTGCGTGACTGACCAGTATAACCTAACTGTTATGCATTTCACTGACCACACATCATCATCATCAGCTCTTTTTCCAACCTGATTCTATTGTAATGGCAGAAGGCAAGACACAGAAGCCAAGGCATATTTTATATTATTTAACCAATTAATAAGCGTGTGATTTACGTTTGAATTAAACGATATGAAGGAGAATGTTCAAATACATATGTAGTATTCTGTTGC